AAAACAAAAAGCTTACGACACTCGGTATTCCCAGGCGGTCACCCATCCAAGTACTAACCGAGCCCGACGTTGCTTAACTTCAGTGATCGGACGAGAACTGGTGTATTCAACGTGGTATGGCCGTAAGCGAACATCGCTGTACTATTCTTCCGACTGAACATTACTTCTCGATGAGCATCGAGAATTGTTTTTAAATGCATAAGATTTACCAATATGTTTATTTTGAAAAACAACACGTTGACCATTATGGCTTTATGATTTCGTAGAAGAAAATTAGATTGGTCGATGGCTGTTGTAAGCACTCAGAATATTCTATTAACCACTCTTTTTGCTTGCGTCTATACTACACAGAGCTTTCTGACTGAACACGAACCTTACCCATCATAATGATAAAGGAAAATCATGCTATTTTAACGGTATTAGTTTCTTATGAAAAATGCAATGGGTATGTCAAGTTTTGATTTTTACCTGAATCTGAAAAATCTTCAACACACATTGCTTTTGACGTTTTCAATGTAAAAGTACAAGGAGAGACGCAAGTAAACATGATTTTAAAGGAACAGCATCAACGAATAGTTAATGTACCGCATAATCTGAACAATATCATTTTCCCCATTAGCACTCAAGCGTTAGAGACAAACGCACAGCGAAGGAGTTCTTTTCTAATGTTAATCTCATTTTTGTGTGTCTCGAGCTTAATCAACGAGCAACAGTAACAGTGGGACTTCAACAGGACAGAACCTGTTGGCTCATTGACAATCTACTGACGTAGTATGAAATAGGCGTGTTATATCGGTAAATGCAACTATATCTTAAAACAAATACTCAATCGAAATATAAAGCGACCAATGCCGAGGCCGGACATTCCAGCTACCGGATTCCGTAAGATACTCCAGAAAATATACGGGAAAGTCACCATATTCTGCTGGAAAACCCGGGAATTCGCTGGAATATGGAAGCAGTATTCCGGTCAAAAATACGGCTGGACTTTTGCGGCGGATTCCTGCCAAATTCCGGTGCTTTCGGCAGGAATTGATCGGAAATCACCGGAAAAAATCCGAAAATTTTCTAACCGGGATACTACTTCCACAAAATCAACGGAACTACCCGGAACCGACCGTTTCCAGGCCAGACTGTTCGGTCTGGGTGTATGAAGTATGTATAACTGTTTTGCTCATAGATTTGTTACTACTGAAAACTCAACACCTGCATGAGCTTTAACCAATCGTGAATAAATCCGAAGAATTTGTACTGAGTATCAAGTAAAGGAATCTAACAGAAGATTTAGTTAGATTAAATCGGTTCTGTTAGCTTTACAAAAAAACAAGGCTTAAATCTTCTTATAAGCGAATATTGGCTGGCTCTTATATCACTAACTCTATTCTAGTTAGGGATGGACCGTTGATTTTAATTTGAGTTAATTAAGTGGTTTTATTTAACAGTTAATATTAAATTAACGTAAAGTGCCACTCCTAATTATAGTATCAAGAATATGATAATAGAATTCATTGTTTGACCTGCTCACCTTCGACTATCACTACCTGTTGTAGTCTTGAAGTTGTAATAAAATGTATAATCTATTTTATGGACATAATAAAGAGCAATACTAATCGGTTAAATATTAAGGAAAGGAGAATCTGCCGTATTTATAGTACATATTTGCTTAATTATTGTGTACTACGTAGTTTTTATCATTGTCTACTTCGAAAAGTTGAAAATACTCGCTGTTTGATTTTTAATATGTACCCCATCAATATAGTGATACGTCAATTTTATTAGATGTCAATCAATTTTGCAAAACTTTCAACCAATGTCAATTCAATGGTTAAAACTAGTCAATATCTAGATTGACACAATGCTATCAGTATATATGATGCGCAATACATCATATTAAAAATGGTTTATTTTCAAAAGCATTCTTCTTCGCTTACATTTCGTCCATGTTACACATGCATAAAAAAGCCATCAAATTTTTTCATAATCAGATAGTTATAATTATCTGTCATGTAGGTATTGCGTTATCAGCAACTGCATAATTAGTAAATGGTGATACTGATTTAGATTGAAATGGAACACCTTGTACATACATTTTCTATCCGTGTACGGAAAGATAGTGATGACTGTATTACCTGAAATAATTAATCATTGATTTTCGACAGAATTCATGAATGTTTACATCCAAGGACAATATCAATACGATTAATCAGTAATGGTATGTTGCCTATTATCATAAAATAATACTGAAAAATGAGAGAAAACAGACAAAAGTATATCTAATGCGCCCTGAATGATCAAAGCACATACACCTAACTATGATATGCTTGAGATATTAATCATATAAGCGAGTCGCATAGAAAATGACTGAAGAACTAGTTCCGAATATTGGCATTCGATGAAACAATAAATATTGACTATGAATTAATCGTAATTAAAGTTCTCTTATAAGACAAAGTACAAAGCAAGAAATTTCTTTATTAACTTTTTAAATAAAAATCTACGATCATGAAACTATTTAAAAGTAGTACCTAGAGAAAACTAGAACGATTACTTTTTGCTGATCTCTAACTAATTAGTTAGATTAGATTTATAATATTCAATGATACTCTTACATATGTGAACAATTACTATTGATTTCGATATTTATATATTGGAAAACAAAGCGTTCTAGTCGAGACTACAAATTGTGGACATCATTAAGTGATTTGTTTTTATCTTAACTCATTTCTATGCTGTTTTTTTCTGTGTGACCGATTGATTGTATGTTTAATTAAGTAACTTTCTCAAAACATCTAGAAGGCATCGTCATCTTATGTTACAAAAGAAGCAATTTCCACACATAAATAATAATAATAATAATAATATAAAACTACTGCTGTTATGAAACAACAAAAATCATGCATTACTAACAGTTACGAACTCAGCTTATGACTGTTCGATGAACAAAGTAAATGATGTTTGGCACTAATTGCGACCCGATGGTATTATTTCTCACAGTTTTTTTTCTTTGTGTTGTTTATTACATGTTCCTTTCGTAGAAAGTTAATGAATACGATTATTCTCAATTAATTCATCATTTATCGGAAGTAGAAAACGTAAACAAATATTCTTTATTCAGGATGCCAATGTGCCAGATCAGATTCTTATTTTAATAGTTTTGTTTAAAATCAAAGCTCTAATTGAACTTTAACTTTTCATAATCTTATCTGACTTTCTTTTCTTCATGAAATTCTCATTTCAACTTGTTGAGATTATTCAACAAGCATATCTTGTACTTTCAAGTTATCATCATTTGATATAGTATCCTTATAGAACATGTTTGATTTACATCGTAAAACATGAGTCAAGGCTAAAAAAAGTTCGTCCTCCATGCTATTCAGTTATGACATTGATATGATTCTTTAGGACGAATCTTTTCTTCTTTTTTTTCCTCATTTTGACAAAATCAATCATAGACTCCTATTTTATGCTCGATTGGCTCGATCATCTTTTATATTAATCAGTATCGTCAATAAGTTCAATTCTTTTTTTTTTTGTTGTTATTATTTCACTTCTTATCAATAATAGTAGTATAATTGAGCACCTGCAACAGAACTGTATATTATTCTTCTATCTTATATAATCCGGTTGAGTTGTATAAACGAATAAAGAATGTTGTGAATGACCTGTCGATTATATGACTCTTCTATTAGATACTCAGCAGCGGTCAACACTGATGCGCGACCACATGGTGACCAATAGTACTCCCGTAGTATTTCACTATTCATTTGCATAATGAAATTAGATGAATTTGTATTCACTGCATGATATGAAGTACTAATCAACAGCGGGATTGTCTCAAATGAAGACAGCCTAGTTTGTTGTTCGACTATCTGCCATTTTTCTTTTCACTTGTCGTTCTCGGCTTCATACACAATAGTAAAATATAGACCGAGAGAAATTGATTCTCTCTCCCTTCAAGCGTGATAGAAAGCAAAAGAAATGACATTCTTGAAATAAAATAAAAAATAAAAGAAAAGACAATATTCTGTCGAAATGAACAGACAGTATAGTATTTCTTTTCTTTTTCTATTTCTCTTGCCTTAGGAAAAACTGTTCATTTTCTCTCATAATACCAATAAGAGAAAAAGAAAAATACTAGCTATTACTACTCAACGGATCGACTTTCTTCGTTTCACAAAGAACCGAGAACGACAGAGCGACAGAGAGAGAGAGAGAGAGAGCGAGAGCGAGAGAACGAAAGCAAGAAAAACGAGTGCTTCTCTTATGTCTTCGCGTTTATCTTTTTTTAGTTGTTGCTCATAGAAGAGATACACAACGTCATTGCTATTAGGATTACTTTCTTTGATAGATATATCAAGACGCTATTGAATTGTAATTATTTTTATTATCAAGTATGCATACAAACTAAAATTTTGAAAGAAGAGATTTTCATCAGATAAAATTTTCTATTTTTTCAGTTATGAAATTGACTGATTCGTTCTATTACGAAGAAACTCGTGGCCAATGTGGACGTAAACTATTACGTGAAATTGGCGAACAACGTCTAACGAAAATTCGTTTATATGCCTATGAAAGTTGGCCTAAACCAGCACTTATTTCACATTGGACAATAAAAACAGTATGGTGGTCAAAAACAAAATGCGAAATTATTGAACAACTGGGTCATCGAACAAGTATCACGAAGTATGTTATTGCTGTTTCCTTTTTTTAGTGCACTTTGCTTCTCTTAATACGATTATATAAAGAAGTAGAGAAAGCCGAGGCGTAATCATCTTTCTTTATTTTTTCCATTCCCGAAGCAATCACTATCCATTTTCTTTTTAATTTAAATATGCGGAAAAAGTTTATCAACGAGAATGAGTAGTTCCATAATTTACAAAGAGAAGAAAATTTTCTCATAGAATAAAGTACCTTTGAAAAAACAATTATGGTGCACACCTAGTTTTAACTGTCTAATAGAAGGTTGTCATATATGTGTAATGGATTTAATTGACAATTCGATAGTATGTCAAACCTTCCAATGTATTGATAGTTTCCGTCTGCATATGTATGTAAGTCTTCCGAAGAAATATAATTAGTCGCATTTTGCTCGACTTTGTGTGCACATATGTGACAAGCAACACGCGCGCTATATTACATCGGTGAGAATAGAACGAGGTCGATTCTAATGTCTTATATTTATACTTAATGGCAGGAACATGTAAAGTATGAGAGAATAATCATCAGCTTTATTCCTGTTCAAGTACAAATACGATTATATGCCGTTACGTGTGTCCTATACTTACACATAGAACTTTGATTGACAGACAATCATAGTCCATAATTTGTCATATGGGAATTGAAAAACAAGAAAAAGATTTTTCTTTTTTGAAGGAACAAACATCAATTGGAGTAATGACTCGCAGTCTTTTTCGTTTCGTTTATTGACATAGATGAATATTTATTTATACTGAAATGATCGGCGGCCAAACAAAAATTTCATCTTCTCATTTTGCTCTCGATTAATCGGATTATAAACGAGAACAGCAGTATATTTTCTGCTTGATGAGTAATTTGATTTCTTCTTGCAATTGCGCAAATGTTCACGCATTTGGATAAAAAAGAAGAAAAGGAAATGAGAGTGATGGTAAATTTTCATATTATTTTATTTCATGTTGTATGTATTAATGAAAAACGTAATAGACGGACGCACACAGGAAGTCGACATTAACATGCTGAGAGACAGCAGATCTAATGAGTTCGATATTACGTTAAGAAAAGGAAAGTCATATTCATGCCTAGACAATATATTAGATCAGACCATGAAGGATTATAGAGAAGGGTACAGTACTCTCTAACAGGTGCGCGGATAAATCATCAGACGCTAATTTGGTGTTTTTATTTTTTTTTGTCTACATAGTATATTAACCTCGAAAAATATGTCTAAATGAACTAGAGTAATATGCGTTAGTAAAAGAATTCTTAATCTATATGCGCATTGAATGATAATGAATTCAGTATATTAACATAAATAAGTAGTTAATTCTTTCTTTTTGCTTTTCTTTAATATATATAATAACTTATCTAGATGTTACATAAAAATCCATGAATATATTTTTTCTAGAGGTCATATGAAATGTTTGGGCAAGGGTCGATTTGAAATAACTGGACAATTTCAACGTCAAACTGATGCTTATTTTCGTCTTATATTATCATCACAAGTAACTGCTGATGATATATCTGATGGTTACATATTATCAGGAGATCTTGAACTCGGTGATACAAAAGATACAATGCAACAAAGTCATTTTGCTGTAGTGAAATTTGAACAAAAACAACATCATAAGCACAGTTTAAATGATTATTGTCATAAAGCACGTCGTTTATTATTGCTTGGCTGTGTATAATTGATATTATGTTGTTTTATCGTTTTCAACAGTGACCATTTACAGTGGTTCTTATATACTAGTCAGTATTTCGCTTTTCTTTGACTGTCTATTTGTTGTGGCTGATTGAAGATTATATTCATTTGTGTTCCTTTTTTTCTTTTATCAAAATTTTAATAAAGAAACATACGTACTCGAAGTGTTTAATGGCTGACATCATATTTTAGAAAGTGTGTAACGTTAAAAGTTTCAATCATCAAAAGTGCTATTAAATACAATCATACTTTTATACACGGAAAAGATTCTTCAAGGTGAAATAAAGAGATTCTATGAAAATAATTGTTTTTCTTCATAATATTTGATAATGGTAATAAAGAAGTGTAGTTTTTACTATGATACATGTAGTAGTAGTTTTGTTGAAGCATTTTATACGTTTCGATGCTAGTTAATTCCAAAAAACCTCTTTTTTTTTCAGAGTTATTCCTAGGAATTAGTAACGAATTATTTTTAGATCTCTGCTATTCGATCATGAGGTCACCTGTAATACTTTATTTTTCATAACAAAGTACTTGAAAATAGCTCGACAAGTTGCGTGTTTCAAGAGATAAACGAACAAAATTGTTACTATTAATAGAATCTAATAAAAACTGTATTACTGGGAAGCAAACAAATAATAAGCAGAATACATTTTTACATAAATCTATATGTGAAGACTACAAAAAAAAAACACGATTTTCATATTAGCGAGTACCAAAACAGTGCTCTATTTTTTCAAAATTTATTAGATTATCGTAAAAATATCTTAATCATTTTCTTTCAGTTGACTGCTGAATATTACTAAATATGTTCGAGAGCTTTCGCTTTTTGAGAAATCATTTCGAAACATATGATGCTGTACGATCAGTTAACAGATGTCGCTCATTGACGCCAAAGATGTGCAATGAGTACTGTAAAATTCCTAAAATATTAAAAAAATCAATAATTTTCACAATAATTTTCATTTTATATGACATTTATGATATTAATGAATGATCAAATATCGAGTCAGCATAGAGTGTTTAATTGGTCAAGCACACCATTGTGTCATCCTGGCCAGCATTCACAATTGTACTAGTTTTCAAAAGAAATTTCTTTTTGTTAAAACGAAGAAATTTCGATTTTACTATCGAACCAATTACGATGGGTCTTGGTGGTAGTAATTTAAAAATTCCAGGTGGCGGTACGGAAGGTTTTCATGTCCTTCGTGTTCAAGAGGGTTCACCTGGACACAAAACTGGCTTGGAAGCATATTTCGATTTTATTGTTAGTATCAACGGTATTCGACTTGATACAGATAATGATAGATTCAAAGAAGTATTAAAAGAAAACGCTGGCAAACCAGTCGAACTACTTGTCTATAGTAGTAAAACACAAACAGTACGACAGCTAACATTAATTCCCCATGAAAATTGGGGTGGCCAAGTATGCATACAAATAACAGAAAGTAATCTTTTTTTATTTTCTATTTTTAAATTAGGGTTTACTTGGATTAAGTATTCGTTTTTGCACATTTGATAAAGCAAATGAAAATGTTTGGCACGTCTTAGATGTTCAACAACATTCACCAGCAGCATTAGCTGGTTTACGTTCGCAGAACGATTATATTATTGGAGCTGATACATTATTAAATGATGCCGAGGATTTATTTACATTAATTGAAACAAATGAAGGAAAACCGCTTAAACTCTATGTTTACAATAGTGAAAGTGATATGACACGTGAAATAACTCTTACACCAAATGTTGGATGGGGCGGAGAAGGCAGTTTAGGTTGTGGTATTGGTTATGGTTATCTTCATCGAATACCAATTCGAACAACTAGTTCACCACCAGTAACAAAAACAAATGCTGCTGGTCTTAACGGAATTAATACTACTGATAAAATGCCAATACTTTCGGCTATGCCATCATCAAATTTAAATGGGGGTACAAATATGAATTTTACATTTCAACCTGCTAATATGCCACCAATAACAGTTACAATGCCAAGTTTATTTGTTCCACCACCGGTTAATACAATAGCAAGTAATTCAAACGAGACAGCAACAACAACTTTAGGAACTCAACCAATAACATCAACAGCTAATGATCCAAGTCAATTTGCGAAGTATGTGCAAGAAAAAAGTTTCTTTTTAAATTTGGTTTCCGTTTTTTCTTCTTCCTATCAAGATATTTTGGTGATATGACAATTAATCCATCGGCTACTCCTTCAGTTAACCCTGTACCAACAACTTTTCCATCGAGTCCTTCAACATTCGCTCCTACTTTTACTAACGCTCAGTTTTCTTCTCCAGTTCAACATCAATTTACAAATCCAGGGCTAAATGAACAATTACCAACAATCGTCTCTCCTCCAGTAATGCCACCATCAAATCTAGGTATGCAACATTTTCAACAACAACCAACAAATCCAGGCCCAACTGATCAATACACATCAATAATACCTCCGCCGATGATGCCACCTTTTAGCACTGGATTAGGACATCCTCAACAACAATATTTTCAACCTACTCCACCATCACTATTTACTGATTCTCAATATCAATATCAACAAGCACCAATACAATTCAATCCAAACATGAATACATTCAATGCTTTTTCAATTCCATCACCGACATCTATTCAACAAACATCATCATTTATTCATGATCACGATAATAGTGGACATGGACATAGTCATGACCATGGTGATGGCCACGGTCATAGTCATGATCATAGCGATGGCCATGGTCATAGTCATGATCATAGCGATGATCACGGGCATAGTCATAATCATTAATAATTGTTTTTCTGATATTCTGAATAATCATGGTTATTGCTTTTCAGTTCTCACGTGGGTTAAGCGCGCTTTTTCTATGCTTAGATTTTCTTTTCTTTTTCTAATGTAAACTGCTTTAATCGCTTTTGCTTTTATTTCTTTTCAACTAGATTTGTGTCCGTTAGGTAACAAAATTTTCTTGTTTTTCAGTTCGACTACACTTGTTTGTTTCGGTAACTGGACAATTTGTCGCATGGACAATACGTCGTACAGTCAATTCGTCGCAGACAATTCGTCGCAAGAAAAATATGTCGCGCGGACAATTCGTCGCACGGATAATTCGTCGCGTACATGTTTATTCTAATTTAATTAAGGGAGATTAATGAGAATAGAATAATTGATATAGATAATTGTATGAATAGTGACAAGAAATGTCTTCTGTTACTGAGGAGAATTATTTTATATTTATTTTTAAAATTAATGGGTTTTTTCGGATTTTCCCAAAATCCTATTAGATTATTCATTTTTTCCTTGAGATTCATAACTCAGTCTACGAAATTCGTGGGCTTAATCAATTAATTGAACATAGTCTACTTGATTCAATTACATCAAGCAACACGTCATATTCACTTTCATTAAGTTACATTGCGACCAATTGTCTTGAGACGAATTATCCGACGACGAATTGTCTGTGCGACGAATTGATCCAGTACCGTTTGTTTCTTATTGTTATTATATTAATCGTTATTAAACTTTAAAAACTACGACCTAGATAAATTATTTTCTTTCTTTCTTTCTGTTTTGTTTTCATTTAAGATTTAAATTCATTTCGAATATTTTACTAAAAAATAATGCCAATGAAAATATTTGTAATTAATTGAAAAACAAAAGAATTTCCATGGTGGATAATCCAGATAAATTACGTGAAATATGTCTACGAAAATTTGTTTCTCTATTAAAATATGATGAATTTATATGGAAAAAACAAATTGAAGGATGTATTAATCAAATATATGAAAAGGAAAAAAGTCAATCATCATTAAATGGTCAACGAAAAAGAAAATACAATACAACCGATGACGATGATGATAATAGTACTTTGGTCCAAAAAGTCGATTATAGTATTTATGAGGTAAAGTTCAATAGAAATGTTGGAATCTTTCCTTGCTTTTGGTTCGACATCGGTTGATGGCAAATTAGCTTCTTTCATGTTGTGTGATGATGATGCCTGTCGAAAATCACGGATGAATACATACAGGCAAGAATCATGAGCTTAAGTTTTTGCATTTGTGTGTTTTTTAAATTGAACTCGATTCGAATAAATATTAAATAGTTCTTGCTTAGAAACATATTCGATGCGTAATGGAGTGTAAATCAACTTCTTTGATTAGTTAATTAAGAAACTGTTTGTACAAGTGTGCATTTCATTTGCGCAAAGGGTTGTCATGAAAAGTGATGATCAATATGCGTTTCGAAAAAAAATAAGGTTTATCTAACTGTTCAAATGGAGGTTAGATAAATTTTTTATATCGATGAATCTTGTCTATGAAGAGACTTACTGGTTTTAATTATATTGTGAGAGTACCAGGTGAAAAGAATCGTTTGCTGAGTTTTCAAGTGAAATATATATTTCGATAAAAGAAACTGTTCTTCAGCCGAAATTTTAAATAGCTCCTATGCATGAGTCGATCGATGTTTTCTCATTCAAAAGAAGAAAAAAAAAGAAAGAGTCAAACGTATCCTACTCATAGCTCACGCTATGCCAAATGCACGATAATAGCTTTTAATCTTGACTATTTAGAGAAAAAGTAGACTTCGCTACTTTTTTTGATTCCCATACGGGCATGTATTTTAAAATGACATTGTTTTATCGTTGTTTAGACTCAATTGAAATGTAATAATCGACCTTCGTTTCTTGAACAATTTCTTCGTGGTATATGTCCACTAAATGCCATATTATCTGAGCGTCTTGTTGATTATTTAGTCAGACAAAATCAATTAAATGATTTTACTCTAACACTATTTTCATCGAATGTTACAAGTTTAAAGCGAATCGTACTCAATGTTAAATATTTAAGTCAATTACAATGCCATATTCTTCAGCAACATTCGAATTTAAGTGAAATTAAAATTATTTTTAAAGATTTAAATAACAATCGATCAACTCACGAAGTTAATAAATTACTTTATCAGCATATTTGTCCATCGTTATATTCGAAATTCGATGATATTTATACAGTTTATGGTCCATTAGTTCTACATCATTTACGTGGACAATCGCCAGAAAATTTAAATCGAATATCTTTATTCAATCGATATTTATTTCAACGCTCACCTGCTCTATTAGAAGGGTTTTCACATCAACGAATATTCAATACTGTTCTAAATAGTTTACATCCGTTAACATTTCAACGATTAAAAATTCTTAACATTGCACATTATAAGTTCTTTGCTGCATATCATTCAACGTCCACTTGGAAACATGCACGAGTTGATATGTCACCTTTAAATAAATGGTAAATATTCAAACTTTAAGTAATGGATGTAGTATAGCAATTATATCTCTATTTGATCAGAGAAAAGAATCCAGTGAGATCTAGTAGAATATCCTAAACAATCTGAAATAATTTCAGCGTGTTGAAACAGGAATTCGATAGTTAGTGTGAAATTGACTGGCGAAGAAAAGTTGACTGAATTTGGTTCTAGCTCATTTTCTCTGAGATGAAATGCAGCTCGTATTTCTTTCTCTCGAGAAGGCTTCAAATTCTCCTACAATTTTGTTCGTACGATTGAATAGCTTGATTCTTCTGTATTGGCCAATCATTTATTAACAAGAACTTGAAAATCTAAATACAATTTCGATCGCACATTGCCAAGATTTCGTCTTGAGCATACTTTTAGATGAATATTCTATTCGAAAAATAAATGAATTAAGAAGGGGACTAATCGAAAACCTTGCTGCTACTACTTCACAATAAAATACCGAAGTATCATATTGATTTATTGTACTTTTCAGTTCAACACATTCTACTACAACAATATATTCATCTGTAAATATAATTCCAACAAATCTTCGTCTTATATTGAAATTCATAAATCTAACTTCATTAAATATCAATAATACCGATATAAAAAATCATTGCCTCGATCTTATAATCGATTCATTAGAAAAATTGCATAAACTTGATATATCGTCATGTTCATCATTAACATCCTTTAATTGTTTATCAAAATTAGCAACAAAATTAAAATCTTTAAATCTATACAATTGTTCATTTCAAATGCAACAAAATCCAACGATTTATGAAATTTTACATCAACTAAAGCATCTTGAATATTTAGACATTAGCACCGATAATGAAAATTCAATCACAAACACAAAATATAATATCAATGGATTTCTATCCGAACCCAATTGTTTATCGAATCTCAAAGAATTAGATTTAAGCGGACAAAAGAATATCTCATCAAAATCTTTATATAAATTTTTACTCTCTCATAAGAATCTTGAATTTCTTGGCTTATTTTTAACTGATGAAAAATGTACGAATTGTTTATTTGATAGAAATGATTTATGTTATTCAAAACTTCGTTTGTATACATACGATCTAAATGATATCACTATTGAAAATGATGCACATCTTTATGAACCCTATCTCATCGAGTCATTAAAACGTTATTATGATCGAGTTAATTTTGTACAGAAAATTCTTTATTATATATTTTTTCTTACACGTTCATATCAATCAAAATATCAAAATCTTCTCATCGATTTAATACTTCATACAATGTCAATACATCGAAATTCACAATCGATTCAATTGGCATCAACAGCATGTATTTACAATCTAACACGTTCACCAATTATTGAGCAAATTCATCTTAAATCTTTAACTAAAATCGTCGAATCGATCATGACGGTTATGGAATATTTTCCTAATCAACAACAAGTAAAAATAGAATTCGACAAGTAAATAATTAAAATAAATATCTTTTTTTATAGTTACAAAAAAATTGCTTATTGGCTCTATGCAGTGATAGAATTTTGCATGAACCAAATTTTAATTTTTTTCTATTAGCATCATTAGTTATGAATAATTTACAAAATCATACTGATTCAGCAATTATACAACCGGGTGTGGCTATATTAGCTTTATTGACAAGTAGGGTAAGAAGATATTTTTAAAATCCTTTCAAAATAAAGATCTATTCCTTTTATATAGATGGTATGTCTTTATAAGAATTTGTAGGGTTAACATTTTATGGGTCTGCATCAGGGTGGCGAGATCAAAAATTGAAAAATCAGAAAATATTTTTTCAAAATCAGAAAACGATCAGAAACTTTCTCTGAAAAATCAGAAAATGGCAGTTTTTGAAAAATTAGTACAACTTCTTTTTAAATTTAAAACTCGTTCACAAAAACGAGCAAGACTAAATCACATGCATTCTGCGTAGATTAAGAAATCCAACAAGAAAAAAAGTTAAATTCCATCATCTCGGTATTGTTATTCATATTTCGTATCTTTTGGAATTTGTTCTAGGAAGTTTGTTTAAGATAGCATATACTAATAAAACCTTCTCATGAATAATTACCATTCATTTTTATTTTAAGTTAAGCATTATCTGGTTTTATATTCTCGGATTACGATAATCGGACTATAAATGCTTTACATGACCGAAAATCAATTCGACGCCAGAATTCGAACGAGGAGTATAAAAGATGATTAATACAGAAAATTGATGAAACACTAGTGATTTATTATAGTAATGGGTTATGATCGTACCTAATTTCAGTGACAAAGAAGCGATCTGAAAATATTCCAAATTCAGAAAAAATCAGAAGATCAGAAACATGTTCAAAATTCAGAAATTTTCCCTAGTTTTCAGAAGATCTGGTCACCCTGGTCTGTATAGCCTTTTACACTCAAGGAACATTTTCTCATCGGTCACTCTATAGATATCAGATATTCTGTCTCGTTTTGGTGGCTAGTGTGTCCTATTGATTTGTCGAATAATTAGACTCGTTGATAGATATCCATCAATACCTGCCGGTTAATAGGTTTCAAAAAAAATAGATAGTACTTATTGCACTGTTGTAATATTGATCGATCATTTGTTCTACTAGAAATGAAGCGTAAAGGACATTGTCTCTCCTGTTACAAAAGTTTAGTTTAAACGGAAAGCTCTCATAAATAAACACCGAGTAGTGCCATAAATCGCGGCAAAACGTTTGAGATTACATTTAGTATGTTAAGAAAGCGCTTGAATAGAAATATTAATGAAGAAAGATCGAAAATAATAATTAGAATTGCACGATTTTTTGGCAGTGAATAGTGAGATAATTAAATCAGTCAATAGATCGAAACGAATTTGTTAACAGAATTATAATAAAAATTAAAAAAAAGACTTTTGCTACTTTTTTATTCTTCGTAATATGAAACTGATCATTATATCTTAGTCGATCTGTAGCACAATATGCAATTAATGTTTGAATCAGTGTGAAGATAAAGGACTCTGTTTGGCTGCCTTGTAGTTTATGATTAGGAATCCATACATACATCATGCGTTTACAGTTGCACACAATAGATATCCGCCTCCCGCAAAATTTTCCATCATGCCTACGGAATAGAAAACTTGTAATTATAACACTTTGATCCTAATGATTATTAAATTTAAGCGTAAAACAAATTATTACTATTGCTCTACTAAATAATTTTCACTCGTGCCATTTTTCTTATCTCAGTTCAAAAGATTCGTGTGCTTATTTATTTAACCGGCTATTTTTTATCAATAGAATTTTCTAGAGAGGATTGATTACAGTATTAAAAAGCTGCTAGCAAAGCTCTCACGGAATAAAAGTATGAAGCATGAATCAACAGTTTTTATTGTTTGCCATATATAGAATCTTTTGTTATATCTATTTTGAGACCTATCACATTAATATGCTTTTATTTAATCCTCCAGAAATTCAATAAGGAAATAATTTAAACAAACTGGAATGACATCTCATTTATATGCGCCCTTTGATCGTATATCAACCGAGTCTACAGGATATCCTAAATCGTATCTTATGCATCGACACTAGTTTGAGCGTCAAAACAACGCACAAAGAATTATATTTTCTGTTTTATTGCAGTTAACTGTAGAGGAATGTACCAAATTGGGCTCCGTTATAAATATTCATTGTCTTCTTCAATTAATCGAACATCAAGTAAACCGTTTACAAGCCATGCAAAACATTCAGAATCATGCATCTGAGCAACCATTAAATCATAATCTACTACTGAATAATGATCTCCAATTAACAGGAGATGACACATTACGTTTTTGTCTGAGTCTTCTATGGAATTTAACAGATGAAAATCCAATTGTATGTGAACGTTTTGTACATTCCAATGGTTTACAATTATTTCAACGTTTGATTCATCTATTCTCAACAGATACAATTATATTAACAAAAATTCTTGGGGTGTTAAGTAATATTTCTGAAGTTTCGCATTTAATTATGTGTCTCTATTCAATTGATATTATTCCTTTAATACAAAAATTCTTAACAGATGCTATTATTGATATAGCATTTTCTGCAGCCGGCATTCTTGCACATTTACTCTTTCAACAAATCAATCGTGAACTTAATTTGGAATTATGTCAATATATGAAAAATGCTATTTTGAAATGGCAAAATCCAGATAGAAATATAATTACATACAGGTATACAAAAACAAAAAGTTCTAAGAAATGAAAACAATTATTTGAATTCTCGCTCTTTTTTTTAAGCTAAAAAATTACAAACAAAAGAAGGCAGCGAAGTATAAAAAAATTCAATTTCTTAAAATCCTAATCTCTTCTTAGATTAATACCAATATTTAATCAACAAAACTTTTCGCATTAAATCAATACTAATCTCAGTTTTGAATAGAAAAATACATTTTTCTTTGCATACCGAATCTCGAAAATTCTTTTTTTTTTATAAGCAATCGAAATTCTGACCATGCTCGACAATAGAGACAGACGAATCTAAAACCATAAACTGTTGATTATTTTCACGAGAAAAACGAGTCTCACTCTGCATTCAACAATTGAAATCGGTTTTATGCTATTTCATTCATGCTAAGCTATCAATCTTCCTACACATAAGCGCTTTTTAATTAAAAAAAGACAAAATCCGCTTCTATATAACACGTTAACCCTATTCATAATTCCTATAAATAGTTTTTCTTTCAGCCATATAACCTAAAAATGCATGCCCTTTACCAAGAATAACATGTTCAGTATGACCACCTTTAGAAATAAATTTGTATTGTTCAGATAAATTAAGGTAGTATTCGTCTTCTGCACCGCACTTATATCCCATGGAGCGAATGAACTTCGATGAATATATATATATTTCAGAATCGAGTGAAACTTGACTCGAATATCAGTATAGTTGGAAGTTTTTATTTTCTTCTATGCTACTTTATACCATGACTGTAATCGATCTTATTTAGGAATAGAAAAAAGACATTCATTTTGTGCGTGTGTGTGCGTTTGACTAGTAGTATCTTAATGTAGCATGGAGTAATTAAATCCTAATTTTACTTTAGATCATTCAAACCATTTCTACCATTATTGCATTGTACACAAATTCCAGTCATACAGCTTTGGGCTGTTTGGGCTATTCATCATGTTTGCAGTACAGATCGTAAGTAAACAAAATCGAACAAAAAAACAACAATAACTCTAAGAAAAATATTTTGTTTTCAAGGTGCACGATACATTCGAATAATGCGCGAAGAAAAATTGTATGATTTAATACAAAAATTATATTTTGATCAAATATCATCGGATCATTGTGATAAATCTACAATTCAATTACTCAATTCAATTCTTCATCTTCTTGAACCATATTATTCAAATAATCATAAAAATTCGTCAGCTGTTGCTAGTTAATATTCATTTGTATAATTTTCCTTAAAAGCAACTATTTGTTCATTGATTTTGCCAATAATTTACAGTGAATTGTCTGCATCACATACCGTTATTTTTTTTCTTGAAAGCCATTTGTTTTACAATCTTTTTTTCTTTAATTGTTATATCCCGTTTCTTAGAATTTATTAATTACATAAGCTTTGGTGTATTAAATATTTGTTTCAGTTAATCAAAAGAAAAAAAAGCATTAGAATATTGTAGATTTATATATGTAAATATTAATTCATCGAAATAAGCATATCTATATTTGAAGTTGTTTTCAGATTTTTATTTTTCATCATGGCAGCACGTCAACCAGTGAAAGTTCAAAAAGTTATGGTTCAACCCATTAACTTGATCTTTCGCTATTTACAAAACCGATCACGTATACAAGTTTGGTTATATGAACAAACAACAACACGTATCGAAGGCTATATAATAGGTTTCGACGAATATATGAATCTCGTTTTGGATGATGCCGAGGAAATCTTGTTAAAGAAAGATACTCGAAAGAAAATTGGCAGAATTTTACTTAAAGGTGATAACATCAGTTTAATTCAACAAATACAACCAACTGCAACACATAGTTAAGAAGCACAAGATGAAATGAATGAATAGCAAAAAAACAAAAGAGAAAGAAAAGTTTATTCGTGAGTGTGTATAGTCATTTTTATGCATTCTTGACTGTTTTCTTTTCTTCTTCTTCTTCTTCTTCGTTGTATTTGTGAAAAGAGAATAAACGCTGATTATTGTTGTTATTAAAATCATTCTTGTTTTATGTTTTTATTTTCTTTAAATGAGTAAGAAAAATGATTGATCTTCATAGGTATAGGGGGGGGGGGGGGGGGNTTCAAATTTTTTAAATTTAAATCGGAGCAAGCTCTCAATCAAAATCACCGCAGGCGAAATCTCTCATACGTTTTCAACGATGCAGTCACGTTGGGCACACTAAATCAATTGACAAACATTGAGGCTAATGAGTTACCCTTGATAACAGAAAAACACTTTTTTCTATACTAATGTGAAAAAGTTTTCTCTAAATAACAATTTTGATTCAGACCTAGCATATGAGATTGATTTACGAGAGTCCATCAGATCCATGGATTAAATTGTACTTAATTGATTACCAGTACTATGAATATATAACTCGTATGCTACTCGTTTGTTAATCATCACAATCAGGTGACTAGACAAATAAATAAACAATCTAGAAGCATTCTAAACTATCGTATTCATTCTTTCCACTCTATCAGGAGTGTGAATATCATAACAAATATTTTTCTTTTTCTTTACATGAAGTATGTAAACCGCCAGAAATAATAATGGAATTCATTATTTTTCAAGGCCGAAACATGCGATTGATTGTCGTATGTTGCTTCAAGCTATTTGTATTTTCCCTTGTGATTATTCTAACGGTAAAATTCATCCACCGAGCTGTCTATTGTTTGTAATGATTTTTTTAATCGCTCTCGCTTCTTCTGTCATCGTAAAGTTTGTTTGGTGAAATGCTGCCCGAACGATTGCTGCTTCGTTGAAAACGTATGAGAGATTTCGCCTGCGGTGATTTTGATTGAGAGCTTGCTCCGATTTAAATTTAAAAAATTTGAACTAATTTTTAGAAGAACTTCGCTATTCTAAACCGACCCAAAACGAATACAAAAAATAACCATAATTATTATGGATCAACCCATCGGCGATGCGATGCGCTCAACATATAGGGGCTCACATATATTTAGTTTTGCTGCCAAACGAACTGGTCTAGGACTGGATCAATTCAATTTCCTTATCGCTGAAATATTGGCATTCATTTTTGCTATATGTTTTCGACGTTATTTACCACCTAAGCCCAACAATTTAATTAAGAGACATCTCATTGGTAAGATAGTTTATTTCATTTTATTTGTTGTTACTGAAATAAAAAGAGACCCGATCATTCATGTACTATTAATAATCGATCGGAAATGGTCAGTTGGCAATTTACATAATATGAAGCAAATAATTAGAATAGGATAAGGTCCAGAAATGTTCGTCACCGGTTCCTTGCAATTAACGAGAATTGCAACCTTCATTACGAAGAAAGGAAGGAAGACTAAGTCTTTCCTTCGGCTACTTTGTAATGTAGAATATTTGTCTAGAAGTCGATTTATTAGTCTAATATATTCCTTACAACAATAGATAATTATAGCTACAGATAGAAGACAAACCCGACAAAAAGTTCTTCCGCTAAATGCATCAATCTTTCACCTAATCACAGACGAGCTACGAAGACATGAAGTATGTCACAATTTAATCAACATGCCTTTGGATGGGTAATCTTAAACAAATAGCCGTTAGTGACATATCCAGGGTCATAAAATGACTGGTAGTAGAGATTTTTGAAGACACAGTACTAATTAGGTATGTAATCAACAATATAACCGCTCAGCGATTACAAATTATGACGAGTTGACTTTGATTTAGTGCGCTTATGCTAACACAATATATTCTTACATGATGATGACATATTATGAAAAAAATTCGGCTGTATATGTGTATTAAAGCATATTTCTTTTTTTTAGCAAGTCTTTTGGGTATTGCACTAGGTCAATTTTGTTTTGGCTCTCAAATTTGGCATTTAATTGTACAATCATGTGTTTCGTATTTAATGCTTTGTATTATACCGCCAAAACATTCCTTCAAAGTTATTTTTGTCTTTTGCATGATATATATGAGTGCCAGTAAGTAATGATTGTGTTTTCCATAAAGAAACAATCAAAATGTGTACCTTTATTAAGTTCATATTCATCGGTTAATATATGATTATGGAAACTATACACTTGATATAAGTGGACCATTGATGATAAATACTCAAAAACTAACTGCGCTCGCATTTGCATTTTATGATGGTTATCGTTCTCAGCAACGTGCTAAACGTCGCCGACCTGACGACGATAAGGATTTCCCACCATTGAATGCCGATCAAGAAAAGCAAAAAATTACTGATATTCCACATCCAATTGAATTTTTAAGTTATGTTTTTTATTTTCATGGTATCTGTGTTGGCCCATTGTGTTTCTATAAAGATTATCTTGATTATATCGAAGGAAGAAATTTACTTGTTATTCCCACAAGTCGTGCCGAGAACACAGAAACATCAGATACAACGGATGAATATCGCCCTGAAATAGTACAGCCATCAACATTTTGGCCAGTATGTACTAAACTTGCTCAATGCGCTCTTTGGGGTTATATACTTCTGTTTTATACGCCATACTTTACAATTGAATATAATATAAGTAAAGAAATGGTTAATTCTCCACTTTTCAAACGAATACAATATTTACTATTTTCAACATTTTGTACTCGAGCCAAGTAAATGTCAATGAGATTTTTCTGGGATAGTTCTGAATGAATCCGTTTTAGATATTACTTTGCATTTATTCTAGCGGAAGCTATTAATAATGCCGGTGGTCTTGGTTTGAATGGTGTTGATGACAAAGGACGGCCAAAATGGAATCTTTTAACTAATATTAAACCATTCCAATTAGAAACAGCGACAAGTTTAAAAGCTATTCTAGACTTATGGAATATGCGTAAGAATAAATCGAAGAGAAAAGGAAAACATTCTTCTAGGAATTTTTTCGCTCTATATTTAGAAACGGTTCTTTGGCTTCGACGTATTTGCTATGATCGAATGACTAAAGGCCGAACATTAAGTGTCTTTGTGCTTTCTGCTCTTTGGGTAAGAGAAATTAATTTGACATTGTTTGAATATTTAATTTTCTATCTATAAGTATATAAATCAAAGTTAGACACCATCTCAAGAGGAATAACGATAAGATTCATTTTTCTTTTGATCTCAATAGACTAGAAACAATCTGAAATAAAGCAAAATATTGATCTCATGAGAACTTTAAAATCTTACAATCAAGTAACATTTAGAAGATCATATTTCAAAAAGTGCTTATTTTATTACTCTCGCATGACATACATCCAGAACATGGAATACCTTGTTTCAACACGACAAAATTAAATATAATTAAATCAAAAACATGTAGGAAAAAGAAAATTTCCCTATGCAAACTGTGTCGAAAATGATCGTGATTGTTATAATCACAGGCATGCTCGTATGATTACTATATTCACAACATAGGATTCTTCCGGTACAAACTTAAAAGTTACTGGTGACCGAGAGGCTCTTAGAAAATCATCAAAATTCCATTCATCTTTAGTATATGTAATAGCTATCTCATTTGATAATAAAGTGTTTCCTATTTCTTCTTCTTCTTGTTTCTTCTGTTTGGATAATATTATAAGTATCAATACAATTGAAAAAACAGTTTCATGTAGACATCAACTATTATAGGAAATAAATGAACAAGAGAAAATAGCTTGTGTCCTTATAAACAATTATCAAGTTAAACTTTAAGTTTATTTTTTTACACCTATCATTGTATGAATAATCTCCGTAGGGATTAAAAACTGTGTATTCGAAAACAACGCGAGGTCGAACCTTCGAATATAGACAATAATATGTTTTTACTTTCTTTCGTACATATATCGAATAAAGCTAATAATTACATAGGATTTGATATTTGATACATTTTTTTAAATGTTAATGATATATTCTAGCATGGTTTCTATCCTGGCTATTACGTATGCTTTGTTTTGGCTGCATTTGAAACGTATGCCGGCCGTGGTATTCGTCGTACGATCCGTCCCTATTTTCAAAAGAATCAAGTATTGAAGATTGTCTACGCATGTATAACGTGGTTTGGTGCTCAATTAGCGTTAAACTTTGCTGTTACACCATTTTCTCTCATGGAAATTCAAAAAGTTTGGTACTTCTATAAAACATGGTACTTTTTTGTACCGGTTGTATCAGTAATACTTGCATTAACATTAAATGGCGCAAGTACAAAATCATCCACGAATAAGCAAGAACCAGAAAAGACGAAATCAAATTAAAAGAAATCAACCAAAAAATCAACTCTGTTTTCTCATCTTGATGTGTTGCTTTTTTTTACAATTTTTCTTTTTTGTTTTCTTTATTTGGCCCATCTTTTTCTTCTTCTTCTTCTTCGTCTTCTTCTTCTTCTTTGTTCACTTTCCTATTGTAGGCTTTGATACATTTTTTTTGTCTTCTTCTTCTTGGTATTATATATTCTAATAGAATCAAGAAAGCAGAAAAATTTGCTAAACAATTCATACAAACATTCACCAGGTATTGTTTTCAAAGTGTTTTAGCGTACATCCTGAATATATACGCGTGCGTGCGAGAAAAGATCGAACGTGCTGTCAGAAAAGGTTGTCCGTTTTACTTCCTTTCTATATCTCACATTGAAGGTCTTTCGCACATATCAATATTTCGAGTAAGCATGAGAAGAAAGAACAAAATGAACAAGAAAAAATTCTTTTTCTTCTGCTTCTTCTTCATCTTCGCTTATCATCATCCTATCGTTTTCTTTTGGTGATTGAACTTGCGTAATAACATCGACCGTTGTTAACAAGGTGCAAAAACTTCATAATACATATACGCACATGTACTCAAAAATCATTGATCAACGTATTTGTCTCAGGTCAGAATGATACTCGAGTGAATCTTAATATTTAAATAAAAATGAATAGCTTCTCGAGGGCTTTCGTAACATAATAGCACGTCTATTCTTTATGTCCGAAAGAATGTATATTTATATATGTATGCGATTGCTTCTGAAAAACCGTTTTGTTTCCTTTCGCGCTCTCCATATTCTTCTTCGATACTGACTCTTTCTCGATAGAGAAAAAAATGAAACAGGAAGAAAAAAGTGGGCATAGCAATGTTTGATTGTTGGTATCCCTAGAGAGATTCAAAAAAAAACAGCAAAAAGGCCGACACAGTCGGCGTAGCATTTTTATTTTCTCTCCCTTTTCCCACTGCGCCGGTGCATTCTCACGAGCCTGTAAAAAGAATTTTCTTGTGCTCTCGTTCGTCCTCTCCTATGCAAATATGTTTCCATCGCCAGAGAGAAAGAGAGAAGAAGTATCACTTTAATCAGACTCACTCACGGTAGTTAGTTGTGGTAATGTTACTAGTAGAATTGATGGAATGAAGAAAGAAATAGATAGACAAAGGGAGAGAGAGAGAGAGAGAGAGACAGTCAAAAAGAAGAAATATTGTAATGATAAAAAGCAGAATTTATTACGAGAACAAATAGAATTCGACGTTGAGTTGAGCATACAACAAAGACACTTATCAATACATCAAAAGTCACGAGCAAAACCTATAAGTATTATTCATTTTCTCTTTGATAATATTTAACAAAGAAAAGTAGAGACGGTCTACATTTTTTTATTTTCTTCTCTTTCTGATTTATATATCGATTTAAAATAGTAAGATTGAATGCTGAATATACTCATATATATATATATATATATAAATATATAAAAGTGTGATAGGATATAAAGAAATCGGATCTGTTTGAAACTAAATCACCGTTAGTATCGTGTCAATAAAATGCACGCCATAGATTATTACTTCAAGATAGATGTCTATGGATGACTCAATCATTCTCTTCTTTTTTTTCACTTTTCAATATGAGGTTTCAACTCTAGTCAGTTTTCTGGCTTTTTTTCTCTCTTACTTCTCTACTTGTCGTTGTTGATATTTGACAAGAGATTAGTTTCTCTTTAAAGCTTCGACATCTCGGTTTTTTTTTCTTCTTCTTCTCTTCACATTATCAAACAATTTGATGACCTTCACCCGTATTTTATACATTTGTTACAACATTTCGACAAAATTTCATCACAATTCGATATCCGGCAGTTCGGATCTATAAGTAAGTGTGCGAGTTCATTTCTTCCTTTTTCTTCCCTATATAAATACATGTCAATGGAGCTTTAAGACATTTCTCTTTTATATATAATGGCACTACTATCATCATTCGCTTCATTTGTACATGTATGCCTACATTCGCGAAACATGGCGCAATGACAACTATAAGCGAATAAGGGTGCGTGTGCATATAAGCGCTGTTGACAAAAAAGAAAGAGAGAGAGCGACAGACAGACAGAGAAGAGAAGAGAAGAGAGTAATGATCGATAATAAATAGCAAATCTATAGATTGTTGCTTGCAAAGGCGCAAGAACCGAAACCAATGCATTTCTTTCTCTTTGCCTTCTCCTTATCGTTCTGTCGTTCTCTAAAAAACAGCTGCATCAACGGCTCAGCGGCAGACACAGCACCATACATAGAGCAATAGAACAGAGAAAAAGAAGAAAAAGAAAAAAAAAAGAGAATCCCATTTTTTTATGTGCTCGCTTGTTGCCTTTGCGTGTATGTGTGTATGTTGTTGTCAGCAGCAGCAGCAGAAGTAGAGTCGTAATAATAGAAAACGAAGAAGAAGAAGAGAATGAGAGAAAAAAAAAAGTTATTTCATCAAAAATGGCATCGAGCCACTGTTGCCGCCATGTCATCCGTCGGCCTACGACTTGTACAAGTCGAGAGGACAAAGACAAATTTTGGCACTAAAAGGAAGTATCCGTCTACGGGCGTCTTCTAAAAAAGATCGACGTATACAGACAGATTTCGACAGGTAAGAACGCGAAAAACCTTCGGATGCTATTGCTTGTATAGATGTATATATATATATAAATATTACCGATGCACGTTTTTCTTCTTTTTTTTGTGCGTGCGTGTGTGTATTCGTTTTGTGTCGTCGATGAGTAAAACCATCGAGCAAAATGCAAATATAAGAGTAAGTGTAAGAATATCTTTGAGGCAGTATAAAAAAAAAGGAAGGGGAAGAAAAAACACCACATACGCATTTGTTGTTCGTGCAAGCACTGAGCAATAGATAAAAAACACGCACATAAACATGTGGAATAACAATTATTGACAGTTGTTCAAACCATACGAAGTAAATTTTTTCCTGTTAGCTCACGAGGTAAGTTTCTTTTTTTCTTCGGCTAAGAAAAAACATTCAATTTTATTTATTTATTATTTAATCTAATTTCCTTTATCAGATGGATTAGTTGAGATTTTTTGACATAAACGAATTTATAAAATTAGCGTTCTTTCATCGTATATATGCACGTCAGCTATATAAATATATATATATATATATATATATATATTTATTAATTGAGGAAAGTCCGCACAGAGAATTTATCCAGTTCTTTTTGCTCCATAGACGTCTGTCGTATAACCTTGCGCTTGCCTCACTGTCGTGGTTTATGTTTCATCGCACGTCTTTGTTCATTAGTTATCTGTCTTTCTATATCTATTCCGTCCATCAAGTTTTAGGCAATAACATAAAAGAATAATAACTGTAGTATAAACAGAGTTTAAATGAAAGAAAAGAAAACCAATATTAAATAAAACATTGCTCAATGAACCGATTTATTGAATGTCAAGAATGCATACAGATCCTATTAGTAATAACACATATCTTATGTTGTTTTCCATTTTTTGCTTTTTCTTATTAATCCATCTACTAGTTTGTATATATATATATATATATATATGCATGTGTGTTTGTCATGATCGAACATAGAATAATTTTAACATTTTGACGTTATTTTACCGATGAGAAACGAGAAAAGAAAAAAAAAGAAAAGTACACGAACGAATATCAATTGCGAAGGAAACTGAAAAAAAATGATGGCAGTTCTCTTACACATATATACAATGCAATGGTGTTACGTTGGTAGGGAGGAACTTGGGGCGTCGACAATGCTGTTCTTTCCCTTCTCTTCTTTTTGTGTTATTGCAAGTAGAGCTGTATTTGACACATGAGTGTGAATAGTTGTGCTCGTCTTTTCTCTTCTTCTTTTTCTTCTCTTCATCTCATGCCGATGAAATGAATAAAAAAAAAGAAGGAGAAGAATAAAAATAAGCAAAGGAGTCCTTGTTGCTTACGTTGAGCAGTTTGCGTGTCGATGATCTCTGATCGATATTAACTGGCTTTCGTATTTTTGTTGCGTTAAATTTATGAATCATCGCTATTTCAATATATTTACTTAAGCTACTCCTGCTGTGTTTCTTTCGTTTTCTTTGTATAACAAGTGGAAGTCCTTGTTCGAGCACTTTTATCACAATCGGATCCGATTACTGTCTGTATACGTGCTTGCTTACGAGTCCCTCTTACTTCAATTACCGCTTATGCAATATAAGAAAAACCTTCATTAAGAGTCCTATCTGTACATTTCATCGCCCGCCTGTAGTCATAGATGCGTTTACATACCATTAGAAACCTAAAACAACATAGCGATTTATATCAACCTTGTGCATGAGACAACACTCTTCTTTTGTCCGTTACAGACGAAAAGGCAAGTTCTATATTTATACTAAAATAATCATTATTTATATCATACTTATTTACTCGAGAGACATATTTAGAAAGAAAAAAAATATGTTGAGATCTTAGCATAGGTAAAATGTATGCTTGTGTTCAAGAGTAGAGTGTAAATGCATGATTTAGATTGCGCCATGCGTCAATAAAATGTATACTAACGTAAGTAACAGGGCTTTAAAAGAAAGAAACGAACGAGGGATATGCCAAGTAAAGTAGCAAAAAAAAGAGAAAGAACGACAACAAAGAATCAATGACAGAAGAAAAAGAAAAGTAAATAGTATATGAAAGAGAAAATTAAGAACTTTGTTTCTTCGTGCTATTGATGCTGTTTTGAAGATCGTATTTATCTGATAATTATTCATTATATGATGGGCAATTTTTCTTGTCTATTCTTTTCCCATCATAACAACAACAACAACAACAACAATAATAATAATAATAACACTGTTCCTATCGCCATCATCAAATTCATGATGGAAACAACCACCGATATTGATCAAATTACACTATTATTCTTGAATTGCTTTTTTGCCACCCTTTTTCCAATATATTTCTCTGCTTGAGTTTGTTTTTGTTCTTCGAAACACTTAATAGACTATAAAATGTCAATTACTTTCAGCATCTTTCATTGCTTTGCTATTCCACTATGCATATATATATATATATATATATACATATTCATGCACATATATGCCTACACTGTGGAATTGTTAATAGAGTATGTCATGACATTACTATTTTGTTCTTCAATTTTTTTCTTTTTAATAGCATACATGCATCGATCTATCTATGTATAAATCTATTCTAGATGTTAAACGACATTAGATTAAACTATTTTCATAATATATTTGTTTATATGCAATGAAGTCTTGACAATATATTATATACATACACACAAACACACAAACACATAAACAAAAAACAGTGCTATAAATCCGACAAACAGTGAGCCTTGTCAATGTCTTTCAGTTTTACAGCAACGCCTACCGATCCACACGGCGCTCATCATTCGTCGCAGAACAGTATGCATCATCAACAGTATGTTACATCCTTACCAGGTTCATCGTCATCATCAACTGGAGGATCTCCAACAACAGCCGCACAAGTACAAGCAGCTGCAGCCGCTGCTGCAGCAGCTCAAGCAGCAGCTAGTATGCCATTAATAGCATCAATAGCCAACGTAAAAGACTCGCGTTGGCTTACACTTGAAGTATGCCGTGAATATCAACGTGGAAAATGTACCCGGTCCGAACAAGAATGTAAATTTGCCCACCCACCAACACATGTTGAAGTTAATAGTGGCAAAGTGATCGCCTGTTTTGATTCACTCAAGGTTTGTAGTTCATAATATGGACAGTATCGTAGATGGTTTCTTTCTGCCAACTGCTTGTACTCAAAAGAGTGCTTATGAGACATAGATATTTCGAGAAAGAAAAAAGCTTTATTTCATAATAGTACTTATGATTATCATCAATGAGTGTTCTTCGAATTGCTTAGTTTTTTATTGGTTATCGGACAAGAAAAGTATTATAGAACATATAGTCATTGTTTATGGCCTAAAGTTATAAATATTTTGATGTAAATGTAACTTGAGATTTTTGAAAATAAACACTTTTTATTTTATCCTACAAAGATTATTTATCAGCAAAATATTTCTATATACAAATAGGTCATTGCGAAAGTTATATGATTACATTTTTTGCCTTTGTAGAAACACTTAGAACACGATTTTTACCATAGTTAAAAGGAAAGAAAAAAACTCATTAGAAAAGAAAAAACCGAGTTTTTAATTTGTTTCATAATGTGAAATTACTTCTACGATCAAGTTTAAAATGTATTCTAAATTTAGAAACATAAAATATATGTGTAATATTTTCTGTAGTGGCCTAATAGTCTTTTAAAAAGCTGCCTATGTTTCGACTAAGGACATCTATCAAGTTACACATTACTTATCAAATTGATTAAAATCATAAAGACAGAGGCCGATCATTTTCTTGTTTATTTTGTTTATCTTTCACATGAACTGTTCTGTCTGAAGATTCGTTGAGTACGTGTAGCATTCAACACGACCCATAGCATAAGTAAGATAGAAAATATATGCAGAACGAAGAAATGATCTTTTTCGTTTTTTTTAAATCATCGTTCATACTTTTCATGTCTCATTTTACTATGATGTATACCCGTACTAAAACGAACAGTCAAGATAGAGAAGAAGAGAAGAAGCAGAAGAAGAAGAAAGAAGAGTGACAATGCGGGGGCTCATATCAGTTTAGAGAGAAAGAAAAAGATGAAGAAGAGAAGATACATAGAGTATACTTTACAATTCATATGTTTGGTGTATTCATACTTGACCGGTTATCTTTCTATTTGTCTCTACTATCGTTGTTACTAGTACGTATGAGAATTCAAGATTAAGAAAAATAAACGGAAGAAATCTTTAAATGCATTCCGATCAAGTAAGTTAGAAATAAAAACCCGTTTTTAATAGTTTATAGTAATAATAAGATGAAAAATTCCTTCATTTTCCTTTCGGAAATTTTATCTTATGTACACATATAAACTATAGATTTTATTTTTATCTTTTGAATATCTCTTGACTAGAAGTAATAATAATAAAAAGAAATTGAATATATACATTTCACTTTTTTATTACGTTGATTTCCTATTGTTTATTAAATAGTAAATTTCACTTGACTCTTTTTTATATTGATCTAGGGTAAATGCAATCGTACTAATCCACCATGTAAATATCTTCATCCGCCTCAACACTTACGCGACATTTTACTCCAGAACGGACGCAACAATCTTATTTTGCGTAGTATTGGTAATGAATAAATTTTTGTTTTTTCTTTCTTTTAAATTTTATGATTTCATTTTAGCTATGAATATTGCTGCGAATCAATCAATTTATCCACAAACGGCAACACATATGCCATACCCCAACGGTGCTATCATTCAAAGTCCTTTACAACAGCCTGGATCACTTGTAAGAAAAAATATTTTAATAACAATATTTCAAATGATATGTTTATTCTATTTTCATTAGCCATCTTATCATCATATTGGGCCCAATGGTCCAGGTCAATCAACATTAGTATTTAATCCAGCTGGTCAAGCGTTTAGCATTCCGTTACATGCAGCTCATTTACAACAATTACAACAAGCTACACCTGGTACTCCTATGTTTAGTTCAGATGGTACGCAATATTTTCAACCGGTGACACAATTAACTGCACAAGCCGCTGGACAAAAGCCAGCACGTACCGATCGTCTTGAAGTATGTATTTTCATATAAGAATCTATACATTATTTTGTTGTTCACTCCCATTATATTTCTTTTATATCCGCTTCTTTATACAGTTTTGAGAGAGTTTCTGGTAAGTGGGATATGTAAATGTTTATCTCGCAGCCGAGTACGGCAACCCATATTTATATTTATAATTGCTCCATCTGCACGCTGAAGCAGCTAGTAAAAAAAGCCACGTATAGATAATTAAAATTAAAATCAACAATGAGCAGCAACAGCCTATCAACCAGCCATTTTTCTACCCTTTTTCTTTCGAACTTTAAGCTCTGTCTGGTTCACTAATCTGCTCTGAGCATCATACTCTCTTTAGCTCTTTATCAACCATACGCCGCCATTTTGCCAGCTACTGTTGCTGCTCTCTTTATCTCATAGAAATAAAATCAACCAAACAACAATAAAAATAAAACGAAGCTCTTGGCAGCATGTGTCTCGCTCATATTCATAAATACACCTACACATAGGCCTAAATATTCACGTTGCGCGTGCAGCTTTGTTCCTTGTTATTTTGCTGCTCAATCTTTTTATATCGGTATCGAAATTTTTTGTTTTCTTCTACTTCAATTCTGACTATTACTAGTTTCGGTTAAAGTCAAAAGAAAAATAAAACAAATATGCAGACATGTAAACAAGAGGGAAACGGCGGACTTTTGAACTTGAAGTTACTTTGAGCTATTTCAAGTTAATCTCAGCTATTTGAATTAGCTTACTCGGAAGTACTTTTCAGCTTCAAATTTTCCTGAAGTTACTTGAGGTTATTTTAAGTACTTGTTCCTACTTGGTTGGTACTTTGAGCCACTTCAGGTAGTCTACTTTGGCGTATTATTCTACTTCAACTCCGCCGTTTCCCTCTTGCATGTAAATCATATAGGGAATCGTTTTCATCGCACTTTCATTTCTATAGGTATATCAGAACAGCAATTCCAATCATGATGCCTTAAAGGTTTGTTACACAGATTATGATGGATAGGATATATCCTTTCTGTTGTCTATGTTGTATTTTTGTGCTTACCGTTTGACGTGATGCACCACTATCGAATTTCTTTTCGACGAGAAATGATTTTCATACTTTTATCTATCTGTTTGGTTTTCCTTTGTCTATAGAATTAAGTACATACATAATGTGCATGAAAATATAACATTTTTGAAAATATATCCATTGAAATACCTATTCTATTATTCCCCTACTAAAATCATGTATATCCCATTTAGTCATATCTTGATCTTGACATGCTATATGTAAGTGATGATTTTTGTATTTGATAAAAAAAACGAAGCGAGTGCATATATATATATATATATAAATCACAATATAACTAATAGCAAAACCGTGGCCAGCTTGAACTTTATTTAGTATATATCTATATACGTAGTAGACACGATATTTCACTTCTCTACTCTCTGTTTTGTTTTGTATATATTTAACATATTTTATATGTTGTGTAGTATTTGGGCACTTGTGTTTGTTATGGTTTTGTGCTTAGTATCTCTGCATTTACACGTGTGAAATTTTTATCTCCTTGCTTATTGCTTGCTTTCTGTAGTTATATTTTGTTTATCTTGAATTCTGATATATGAGCGCATGGTTTTCTTTTTTGTTTTGTTTTGTTTGAACAGAACTATTTTGTTTTGTTTTTGGAAGCGAAAGCATTCTTACGGCAAAACATATATTCAATACCACGCTGGCTTTATCTTGTGTTTAGCTTGTTTTCCCCTTGTTATTGTTTTATTTCTAGGTGTGCTCAGATTTTCAGCATGGTCAATGTTTGAATACAGTAGATACATGTCCATTTGCACATCCTCAAGCACATTGTCCACTCGATGCAGACGGTCTTGTTATTGTCTGTGTTGATTATGTTAAAGGAAAATGTCTTCGTGAAACATGCAAATATTTTCATCCACCTGAACATCTTGTTGCACAATTAAAAGTTGTTAAAGCACAATCGGCCGCAGCTGCTGCTCAAGTCTTTTCTAATACAGCAGCTACTATTCAATATTCACCATCAACTCTACAATTTGTTAATCCTTTTACATTGAACAGTAGTCAGTCTATATTGACTGCATCGAATCCTACTACTTATGCCTATCCTCAACGAACATCTACAGTATCTGCTTGTTCCTCGCCATTGGTATGCTTATAACCCGTTGCACGCTTTATTTTTTGCTTTAAATTTCAAATAGTTTGCTTTTTTTTAAACAAATAATTCTAATCAATCATAACTAATTAATAGATCGAACAAAAGAAATTTTTCTAATGATGACGTTTGCTTTTTTTCTCTTCTTCTAGCAACAACAAAATGTTCATGACGATGATGCAGCCTATGCAAATGGTTATGTTTCATCATATCAAGCATATCCAGGAGCAGCTATACAAACAATCTATGCACAAGCTCCATCAATGGATTTAAAAGATGTACAATCATTGAAATTTAAAAAACGAGTAAACTATGTTCTATCTTTTGTTTACTCTAGTCATCAATGATGAATTCAACAAACGGTGATAATGTTGGTCGTAATGGTTCATCGTCATCTTCCTCATCAGCCGGCGTTAAGGTTGGTAGATATATTCTAGGATTGTTTTCTTTGTTTTTTTTCCTTAAATATTTTTTATATAATAATGTCATTGTGCAGCAAGCAGTAGCCTTATTCTTTTCTGCCGCAGATGCCATTGCCTTCTGTGAACGTGACGTGTGATAATAATGGATGATATTAAGCTTGATAAAATATAACAAAACACCGACTATTTTTTAGCCAATCGCACGAAACTCTTGTGGTTGTTTACCAATTTCTTTTAGAAAACAACATTATGCGTGCTTATAAGCTTATATATATATATATACAGGAAATAAATTTTTAGCAAGTCATAGAAGTTGCCGCAGCTCTTTTTCAACATTTTTTTCTCTTCTCAATCAAATAACCATCGGACAAATAAACAACAACATGTCTTTGTGTTTTATTCTGTTGGTTTTTATTTTGACAAACATTTATCAGCAGCTTATTGTGTGTTTTATATTGTTGTTTAATTCTTTGTTTTGTAGTTTGCTTGATGCACACATTCTTTTTCTATTCCTCTTTTATACTAATCTAGGCAGCGATCGATCCTGTCAGCAGCAGCAGCAGCATCACACAGCAGACAAAAAAACGACCGCTTGAAGACGATACTGCTACTACCGGTGCCTACCTGCAGCTGGTACTGCACACACGCTTTTCTATCCTTGATTTATTTTTTTTTCTGTTTGCTTTGTATGCTTTGAACACTGACAAAACCATGAACGATAAAAAAAAAGACACCTTTGATTTTATTATTTATCAATCTGCGATAAATAATAAAAACGAAACTGATCGAACCACATGGAATAGTTTGCTTCGATGCTTGCTTATTTGATTTCTTTGCTTTCATTCAAACATGCTTCTTGTGGTTTGGTCAGTTTTATGCATCTCTATCTCATAAGAATATTTTAATATGATAAAAGCTTATAGATGAAAAGAAAAAGAAGTCTTCTCTATTGGAAAAATATTAGCAAAGCACAGAAAAAAGAATAAATCACTGATTTATCAAATTAACTAATTCTATCACTGTTTTTTTTTCTATTTCATTATTTTAGCCACCGGGAACACAACTTATCGCTGCACCTCATTACCTTCAACAACAATCTCAACAACAACAGCAGCAGCAGCAGCAACAACAACAACAACAACAACAACAACAACAACAACAACAAGCAGCCTTAGCAGCTGTACAACATCAACAACAAAAACGTTCAGCTATTGCTGATCCTAAAACTGGCATACCTATGGCTGCATATCCATTAACAGCATTCTCGTATCCATCACCGTCACCATTACCAATACAATTTCAACAGCCATATTTAACTGCGGTTCCTATGACTTGTAAGTTGTTTTCTTAGCTTTTGATGTTTTGTCTAGGCATGACAAACATTTTTCGAAAGTTTTTTCTTTTGTTGCCTCTATGCTTCTTTGAAAACAAAATACCTCATATACAGATATGCCATCGCCTGATATTGTCGCTGCTCAGGGTGCGCTTGTATCTGTGGGCTCATCTTATGTAACTTATATTGACAAGAAAGGACAAGTGAGAGATGTTTATTAACACTTAAAAAAAAAACTTGAATGAATTGTTCAGCAAAATTATGCATAGTTGTTAAGATAGATATGATTGCTGTTGATTACATTTTGCATATGTTCAAGTTTTTTATTCTTTGCTTTGTTCTTTCTCTCGATTGATTCGATAATTCAGCTCAACCTCAAATGAAAAGTGAGTACTATATGTTGGGATCAAATAGTTAATTTCACGATTATGACAATAAAGATCATTTTTTCCTCTTGTCCTATTCTTCTTTTGTTTAATTTTATTTTTGCATGCACCAACTAACTTTTCTCATAGTATACATATCATTTTTTTTGTTTTTGTGCGTGTGTGTGTGTGTGTGCTTATCTAGTGAAAATTGCATGATACCCACACACAAAGTCTTTTTTATTACTGTTTTCGATTAAACTAAAAGAAAAATGATTATTTATTATTAATTATTCTTTTTCTTCTCCTCAATATTATAGTTGCTGGATACACTTCCCATTTGCCGAGACTTTAAATCACGGCGTTGTACCCGGCCTCAATGCAAATATGTTCATCTAACTGAAGGTAATAGAAATAATTTGAAAAAATAGAAATAGCATTCTTCTTCTTTTTTCTTCCTATTGTAATATATTTGTTTTTTGACTATCTTAAGATTTTGTGGAAGTTACTAATGGTTATGTGTGTATTTGTAAAGAAGCTATTATGGGCAATTGTTCTAAAAATGAATGTAAATTTATCATATATGTACTGAAGAACTTCAACGGCAAATTCTTTATTTCAATTATAATAAAAGCTGGCGCTCGAACGTTACCAACTCTATCATAACAACAAATCGCCCACATTAGCCATGTTTTTCCTTCTTCATCTCTCTTTCTCCCTATCTATACTTTCTTACGACAAGTACGTAGGGTTGTTTTCTACAAAGTATACATACACATTTTGGTCTTTCTTCTTTACACACATAACACATAAAAACATGTATCTTTTCTTTTCGTTTCTTTTCTTTTCTTTTTCTCATTTGTTGTTCTTGATGTTTATGATTTCTATTTTTTTTGTTCGTTCGTCCGTTGTTTCAAGTTTGTGATGAAAAGTTCTACAGTACCATACATATATGTATATTCATATGTGTATAAGAAAAAAATTATCAAGACACTTATAATCAATCAGCAGTTATATCTGTTTTTTTCGTGTTTGTTTTTTCTATTTGTCAACATCATCTTTTCTTCTTCGAAAAAAAACAAGAATAATTTTTCTTCTTTTCTTTTTATTACTTCTTTGTATTCGTAAGAGATGAGAGTTAAAGACAAATTCGCATGCACATGTATAGGAAGCAGCAAAAAATATATACAGGCGGACTGAGAAACAATAATCGAATAAGAGAAAAAAGGAAGATTTCCGGTGTATTGTTTTGTGTTCTTTTTTTTATAGTTTTTCTTATTACCCACGCTCTCTCTCTCTCTCTCTCTTCTTCTGTTGTCGATGCAGTATACACATAAGATTGGTCCTAGTCAATCGTCTTTCTCAGCTACACATTCCGTCTCCTCTCCCTCTCGCTTTGTAGACTGAACAGTAGTAGCTATGACCGATCGAACTGAGTAAAGACGAGAAGTCACTACCGAGTTTTCGTGTCATTTTTATATCTATGTTATATTGTTAATTACTTCTTTTCCTCCCAGCAATCTCTCTTATTTCCGTGGTGCAATCGTGATGTCCACTATCTCCAAAACAAAAACTTAGAAGATCAAAACAGAACAAAGAAAAAGAAATACTCTGTCATGCGAACAGTGTTCTAAAATTTTCGTTGTTGTTGTTGTTGTTGTTGTTGTTGTTGTTGTTTTCTACAATTTTTGCAATATTCTCTTTTCTTTTCGTTTTTTTTCTCTCTCTGATCTAGAAACAAACAAATAACTTAACACAAGCATAAAGCGAGCGTGCTAAATGATTTGATTGGTCATGTATTTTTATTTCTTATTTGTTTTGTTACTGGTGCTACTCCAGTTTCTTTTTATTTCGTGCGCGCGATAATTTAATCATTTTTATTCTTTGTGTTCATCAGTCCGCAGAAACAAACAAAAACACTAATTTATTGTGTCTCTTATCGGTTTTTTCTCGTGGGTAGGAAAAAATAAATAAACAAGTGAAATTCGATATTCACTTTTCGCTTTTCCATTTAAAAGCACGACTCGAAAATCCTGCTTTTTTCTAAATGTATGCTTCGATTAGGCTATGATATGTATTGTAACGCATGTTTTCTTTTATCGACGCTCGCTAATGCTGCTTTCTTCTTTGTTTCATTTGATCGTTTTAGCGCCTTATTCGTCGCATGTTTTTTTTTTGCTTTCGAACCATCACCAACCACCAGCTTGAATAGCACAGAAGAAAAAAAATACTAACTCCTCTGTTCTATTTTTTGTGCACTGCTTTCTCTCTCGCTCTCTCTCACTCGCTGAAACGGCGTTACTATCTCGCTCTGTCTGATTATATTATGTTTTTTGCTGCTTCGCGTGCGCTATCCTCGCTCACATGCGTATATATATATGTGCTTTCTCACAGTCATATAAAAAAAGAGATTTGAACTATTGCAATAAGTACAGGCAAATCTGTTCAAAACTGCTTGAAATGGCAAATACAAAGACTCTTATGTTCAACTTGAATTGCTGACGTACAAAGTGATTTGAATATTAAAAAGAATATCAAATAGCAAGATATTGAATGATTAAAGTGCATTGGCGAGAAATTCTGATGACTTTTTTTAAGATATAATAATACTTCAGTTTCTACTGAAAAAAAAAAGTGTTAACTGACAAATTTTAGACAAAAAATGAATGATATAGATGTTATAATTTTCTATTCATATCACGTAGCATGATACAGCAGCGCGTGAATTTTTATTGAGAGAAGCGGAACACTCAGTATTGATGAATAATCGCGTTCTACAAATTTATTCATACAAATTTATGGATTTCGTATGAAAAATATACCCAGGTCGAACAGTCCGGCCTGGAAACGACCGGTTTCGGTTAGTTCCCTTGATTTTGTGGAAGTAGTATTCCGGTTGGAAAATTTTCGGGTTTTTCCGGTGATTTCCTGTCGGAAAGCGCCGGAACTTGGCAAGAATCCGCCAGAAAAGCCCGGTCGTATTTTGACCGGAATACTGCTTCCATTTTCCAGCGCTTTCCCGTGGTTTTAGGCCGTTTCCCGCCGTACCTCCACGACCTGGGTAATAGTAGAAAATTTTCTTCATTAAATGTAATTAATCCTGCAAGTGACAATTATCCTAAAATCCTATTTATATATATATATATTTATTCTAAAAGACGAGACAACCTTTTGCACATTATAAATTTCTTTTCATAAAATAGCCTACGACTTAGCCCATGTCTCATGTCTATCGTACTGCTTTTTTCAATTATTCATAGCTTCAGTGACTAATATTCTTTCACTAATTATAAATAGAATATTTCCCATTTCAAATCTTTTCAAATTAGACTGTCAAATGTATCATATAATCCTGCATTTACTTTAAAATAAATTCTTATTACAACTGACATATATGATTACGTATTTTTTATTAGTTCCTGTTATAGCCTTCATGTAGAGAGACACGTTAAACATTAATTCAATATGAGATTTCTATTCCTGATAATGTCACGTTATCACGATCGAAACATTTTCATATAATAGAGTCGGGTGACTTAACTCTGCCGGTAAAAAAAAATACTTTTTGTTTTTCTTTTATAACTCGAGTTGTACATATCGTAGAAGAGTCGTTTTTTTCTTTCCGGGATAGATCCAACATTTCTCTATCGAATGATATAAGATTGTTAACGAAATAATAAACGAAGCACATGAGAGAAGGGACACATTTTCTTAATGATTCATAAACATTATGCATATCTTTTTCTTGTGAAAAGACAAAAAAGTGACCGACCGCATTCTTTCAAGGGCTACCTGGCTGTATGACGCGAGCAGAAGCAAACCTAGTTACACGTGAGTTTTTTCTTCAAAAGATACTGGATAAAAGGGACAATCATGTTTCAATCCATTATTCTACAGTCTAACTGGACCTGAGAGTAAAATCAAATGCATATTCGGAACCAGTGGAACAAATTACACCAGTTCAGGGATTTTTTCGCAAAAAAATGTTTTCACCAAAAATTTACCTGAGGGGGATCACAACAAAATGTTTCAGAAAAAAGTACTGAGGAGGACCTCAGGTAAATTTTTGGTGAAAAAATGTTTTTGTATCGAAAAAAAATGAACTGACGTAATTTGTGCCGTTGATTCCGAATATGCATTTGATTTTACTCTCAGGTTCAGTTAGACTAGAATAATGGGTTGAAACATGATTGCCCCTCTTATCCAGTGTCTTTTGAAGAAAAAACTCACGTGTAACTAGGCTTGCTTCTGCTCATTCCATACGACCAGGTTGCCCTTGAAAAGATCTATCGAATGATATAAGAATAATAGCGATTTTGCCTAGTCAAGATAACACCCACGCTTTTATCTTTAATAGTTCTATGTATTTTATATTCCTTCGGCACCATTAGGAACATGCAGCGGCAGAATTAAAAACAGGAAAAATTCTGTCAGTTACTTTGTTTTTATTTTCACAAGAAAAAGATATGCATAATGTTTATGAATCATTAATAAAAACATATCAGCAGATAGCCCGTGTCAAGGCGAACTTAGTGATATGTTTCTTCTAACATATATATTATCAGCTTCATAAAAATAATAAGCTTTTTCTAAAATTTACTGCACTTTTCCATGTAATCGGTAGAATTAGGAAAAAAATGCGTGGACCGGCAGAATTAGGTCACCCAACTCTATTTCTTTGCTATAATACATTAATATATTCGCTTTGAAATTCTAGTCTATTAAGAAGCACATCAATGGTAATTTTTCTAGGATTTTATCAGTAATAATGAGAAAATAATTGAGGCATTCACTAAAAAAAGAAGTAGATAATTATATGATAAATGCATAAAGAATGATGGACGACTTGAGACCCGCTTATTTATCTCATGCTTTTGAAAGTTCTATATAAAATCAACATCAACTTACTTAAATGCATTCGACCTACAGAAAATTAATTTCTCATAGTTCTGATGCTTTCAACCTTTTTATTTTGTTAAAATCAGATCTGTCAAATTCTTTTTCAGCTTTGTTTCCACAGTGATTACACAACATGAAAACTCGCTCATACATTCATTTATAAAGAAGCAGTATTATATTCATGACATAGAAAAAGATCTCTTCAAATTTAGATGGATGTTTTCATCCTTTAGGCTAAATTCGATAGTTACTATCAAATACCTTTGAGCACTATGATATATAAAACATTAGCAGTTCGTCAAAATTATTATTCAAGTGGAAAATCATGTTTGAACATGAACAGATTTGTTGCTTTGCAGAATTACCACGTCAAACTGAAGTTTCATTTAAATTTTAAATATTCTATTTCTTGTTAATTATATTCTCTTTATTTATAAGACGCAAGTGAAAGAAATACGTGTTGAAGGGGCTTTGATAAAATTACAATTCGTGCAAAGCTGTCGTTCAACATAAACATTTACACACACACACACACACACACACACACATAAAAACAAATACATGATATAAATAAATACACAATAATAGAAGGATGACAACGCACAAACGATAAAATATAAATGGACGTTTTTTAAATAAGAAAAAAAAGAATACGCTTTTTTTCAATTTACGTAGTTATATATCTATTAATACTAAGAGAAAATTTTGCGTAAAATGACTCCGACAAACAGAAGGAAGACAAGCGGTTTATATCACCGCTTAGAACTTAATTCTAATCACGATAGAAACTGATTTGCTATTATTTCCTCTTAATGCCTTTGACTAGAATAGAAGAATCAATAATACATGAGGTTAGTTTCAAGCTGCGTTGTATCAAAGAAATTCATAGTAGATATTCATGGAATGAGAACACGTTGTACAAAAGAAAAAAAGAAAAGAAAAGAAGAACAAAACGCTACACACAACAGTAAGCAGCATCGAAAAGAAAAACATGACTAGATTGCAAGACGATGAGCAAGCTTTAAACGTATTGATTCAATAGCTGAAGAATCATCAGAAATAGGCAATGGAGTATTATTAAAAGATATATTCGATGTTGATGAAGGCGATGATGTAGACGAAGATGAGGATTGTTGACAAACGTTTTGTTTAATATCTAAATATAAGAAAAAATTGTATATTATTAATCTGCAAATATGCTAATCTCTTGTGATCATCATATGTTGAATAGGAATTAGTATTTTGTTCTCTGGAGAGATAGATAGAAATCACCGATAAGAAAAATCAGCATGGGAAATGTTAGACAAAAGAAGAAGAAAAGAACTTTTCTTTACATGCAGAATTTGTATTAGTAAATAATGATGAAATGAATGATGCATTCGTGCGATTTGTTGTTAAAACGTTGTTGGTATTAACAGGACGATTTTCATTAACTTGTCGACGTTGCTTAGTTAAACGATCTTTACTTGCAAGAAAAAGTGTTTGTATTTCTTCGCACAATTTCTTAAAACGTCGTGATTGCCCTAGAAATTATAATTAGTAACTAAACAATTTTTGTCAAGCAGATTTTCCGTACCAGTTATAAGAGTAAATGTAACATAGTAAGTATCAGGCGATGATGAATCAATAGATTTAACTGTACAAATTTCAACATGAAAACGTATATTTCGTTGAAACATTGATGAACGATCAGCTCGACGATATTCACATCGATATTGTGTACTCGACAAAACATTATGTACGAGATCGGGTGTCTTTATGTAGAAAAAAAAATTTTTAGCTAATCTGTAAGCAAGAAAAAATGAATTTTAACTTACAGATAAAAATGCGTGAATAAGATCTGTTTTAATCGCTGATAATGGTCGATCTTTAACAACAATCATATGATGATCTTCTTGCATAGCATCAATAATATGATGAAATAATGATTTCTTAGTTGCTTCTGGTGTGGTACCATATTGTGATGGTGAGTTCGATGATGTTGAACTATCACTTTCAGCCACTGAGAACAAAGAAAACAACGAAATAAGTAGATTTTAAATAGAGAAATTTCAATAAATAATTTACATAAAATTTTCGGACGTCGATGAAATCTTGGTGTACCAACGTTTTGAAAACTTTGTTTTAAATTAGTTAATTTATGTCTCCATTGATTATTACTTGACGATGCGGGAATATTTGCATTAACGCTGGTAGTTGATAGAATCGATGGCGATGGTTCAATACTTATAGATTCTTGTGTTGTTGATGTCGATGCTGAGGTTGTTGGTGGTTGATTTCGTCGAGGTGAATTGTAGGTTATTGCACCATTATTAATTACATTGGAATCTTTATACGATTGATCACTCATACTATTACATGCTATTGATTGTGTTGATGGTTGTGTTGTTAGAACCGTATCATTTTGTGAAATAGTCGATGCATTACGATGATGGCGATTTATCAATGGTGGAGTTTGAACAGATGTTATTGGACTTTCGAGCGGACTTTTAACACTTGTAAATGCAGTTATTTTAGCAAATACATCTCTTTTAGTGATCGGTGGTGATGATGATGGACTTATCGATGGTGTATTATTAGCCGAAATAGTTTTATTACTAAAAGAAGAAAAACAAAATACTTGTTCTATGTGATCTATTCATTACGATAGAAACTCAAAAGTTCTATTCATATATGTGACATTATCAGAAAAATTCTTTACTTGATATTTGAATAGAGTTGCCGTCGTGATACTAACGGTGAACCGTCAGTTAATTGGGCAACTATACCGGATCGATATGCATTTGAATTAGGAGTTTGTACAACAGCTGAACCACTTGAACGTTGACGATCAACACGTTTTTGTGGAGCATCCGCTATAGATTATAAATATACGCATTCAAAATTTAGAATATACATTTTTCATTATCCTTACGTGAACCAGAACGACTTCGTTGTTTTGTTTCTTCTGGATCATCTTGAGTGGGTTGTCGTAATTTGCGATCCAGTAAAAGAAAATATATGACTTTTTCTGTATTATGTCTAGAAAAAAAAAGTCGATTCATCAAATATTTGTTCTAAGCAGAACTTTTGCCATACTTTGCATTTAATAATGCTTCAATTAAACGTTGTCGATCTTTAAAGCAACCAAGTGATGCCATTGCTGCAAATACATCAGCATCAACATCCTCTTCGTTCGGAATGATTGTTGTCTAGAATAGACAAATAGAATTTCATCAAGAAAGTCTTGTCCGTATAACTTACTTGTATAACTTGTACCATCGGTAATTCAAGTTCAAGGTCTGTTTTCAACCCTCTAAATAAAAGAAGAAAAAAAAACAATAACTCATTTGTATCAAACAAAAGACTTCATGCGAACAGATAAATACAATACAACAATCAATATTAGTATCACTAACATTACTACATATACCAGAACAATGACACATGCATCTTTTTTTTTTTTTAATTCAACAAACAAACTACGAACACAGATGATGAACATGAACGATGATCATTTGTATTAACATTTTTTCGTTTTAAAACAACACTCGAAGGCACAGACGACATCAATATACGATTTCTAGACGATAATAATGGCGTATGTTCGCCTTTTACGTACTGCGTCACCCATGAATGTCGGCTGACCTCTTCTAACTGGAATGAGCATAATAGCGCAAAAAAGAAAATTTATTATTTTGTTAAGACAAAAAAAGAACAGTAACTAATTATTTGTTAATATAGTCAGCAAAAGAAAAAAAGGGAGAATAGAGAAAAACAATGAAAATGAAAATTTACCGTTAATCGTTTGTGTGGATCAGTTTCAATCATTCCACGTAATAATTGTTGACAATCAGCCGGTACAAAATGTGGAATATGAAAAATACCTTTTTTGACTTTTTCAAGCAATTGACGTAGATTATCATCATCAAAAGGTAATGCGCCCTAATAGAAATACAAAACAATAAACAAATCCTTCGATAATAAAGGCATCATTGTTTGACACAAGTAAATAGAAGATTAAAAAGAAGGATTTCATTCCAATCTCGTACGTACCACAAGTAATGCATAGAGAATAACTCCACATGACCAAACATCAGCTTTTCGTCCATCATATTTTTCACCCTAGAATTAACAAAATCATGTCATCCGGTAAAATTTGATATTTATATTTGCCTTGATAACTTCCGGACAGGCTTAAAACAACAAAAAGAAAGAATTAGTTCAGAATTTTCTTAGTAATCATTTTTACCATAATGTGGTGAACCACAACTTGTTTCAAGAAAAGCACCCTCGACTTGTAATGATGCCATACCAAAATCAGCAACACGAATATTCATTTTATCGTCAAGTAGTAAATTTTCGGGCCTAAAAAAATAACATCATGTTTCTTTATTTTATCGGAGTTGCTTTTTTTCTAGCTCACTTCAGATCACGATGGCTACAAAAAGCAAAGGAGAATCAATGAATTTTAATTTTTAAAAAACTTTCAGTTTTTATACATACCAAACCATATGACTGTGACAAAAATCAAGGGCTGACATAATTTGTCGAAAAAATTTTCTTGCTTCTTTCGGTGTCAAACGACTTTTCTTAACAAGATAATCAAATAGTTCACCACCAGCAACATGTTCAAGAATAAGATACAGATATTTTCGACTTTCATAGACATCATATAAACGTAATACATGTGGATGTTCAATTAATTTCATAATTGCAATTTCTCTTTCAACCTATTTAGTAGAATAAAACTTTTTATATATTTCAAATAAACAATTTTCGGTATATTTACTTTTAATAAAACTGATTCTGACAATGCTTCACGATTAACTATCTTAATAGCAACCTTTTCTCCTGTGACATAATGAACACCCAATTTGACAAGACCTAGATAAACGAAAAACAAAATGATGATAACTACATGAAAAGTAAACATACAACAGAGCACAAGAAGAACACTTACCTGTTTGACCTTTGCCTAGTGTTTTTTGTAAAATGTATGGTCCCACGTATTGTGAAGTTCGTGGGGGTGCTGCCGTAGCAGATGTTTTAGCATTATATGACATTGCTTGAAATATTAAAACAAAACAGAATAATCAGTTCCGATCGACTATAAGCAAATAAACAAACTTACATATTGATTGAATGAACAAGAAATAGAAAGACAGACCTATCAGCTACTACACATTATGTTCTCTAAACGACCAATAACTAGCTCATATATAATAAATGTCATCAAAACATAGCATATATGTATATATATATATATATATCTGTCTCTCTTCAATAACTGAAATAGGATAACAATTTACTTTGGCAACCGTGGTAAATCGTGGATAGACAAACAACCATAATCGTTACTTATTTTCTGTGAATGCATAAAAATATCAAAAGAATGCATTTAGAAAATAAAATCCTTTTCTTTTTCATATTACTTCCCACTTATTCTATAAAATTACTTTCAGTCTAAAATAATAATAAAAATTTAACTAGATTTTTTCTTGGTAAAAATTTTCACTCCGAATGACCTCTTTAACGATGTTAATTTGACTTTTGCTAAGCACCGAAATTCTTTCCGATATTCATACTTCTCTCTCTCCAGCTCATTGTCTCTGGTTTGTTCTTTCGATAGACACTTACTTTTCTACCATATAGGTCACCGATAGACCATTTATTCTTTTTTTTTCTCTATTACTCTACCTACCAATTGGTAACATTGTACGTGAACTCGTTTAGTTAATCACAAACACAAATTATCCTTAATCATAGTAAGTTCATAAAAAAAGGAGCTGATCGGATGGAAATTTTTTAATTTAATTTGATTTTTGAAAATATAATGTCTCCTAAGATTATTTTGCCGGATCCATATGAATAACCGTTATTTTTTTGTTAATTCTTTTTTAGATGCAATCCTGTAATTTGTGACAAGATATTTTTTTGTAATCAAAAATAATGGTGCTCAACTTCGAATACGGTATTAGCACAGGAAATCGTTTCATTGATTTAGTTGATCATGACGAAGATCCTGATGATTTTATTGCCAGTAAAACTCAACCAGAAGAAAAATCAAAAAAATCTTCTAAAGATTCAAAACAAGCAGCTAGTACATCGAAAAAAAAAACAACGACTAAAACAACAACACCATCGGTAGCTGCAACTAGCACTACACAATCTGCCAGTACTACTACTACAGCAAAACCTAATAAAGAAAATGTAGCCGGAAAACCAGCAAATACTGATCAAAGACGACAACAACAACAACAACAACAAACAACAAATTTTCCAGCTGATAATAATAATCAACAATCACGTGTTGATAGTGGTCGAGGTGAAAGAGTTTATTTTTATTTCTTATAAATTGTAGTTTGCTTTTAGGTGGTCGTGGTTCTTGGAGACGTGGTGGTAGTGCTGGCCAAGATCGACCCGTGTATGAAGGTAGCTATCGTGGCGGTGGTGGTCGTGGTCAAGATCGACCCGCCTATGACGGTAACTATCGTGGTGGTGGTGGTGGTCAACAACGTTTTAATAAATTTGACAATCAACCAGCAACAAATGAAACAAATGACTTCGAACAAAGTGGTAATAATTGGGAAAATCAAAATCAAAATTTTGGTGGCTACCGTGGTCGCGGCCGAGGTCGAGGTGGACCGCGACGTGGATTTTATGAAGGAGGTCGTGGTGATGGCCGAGGACGTGGTCGCGGTGGACGTGGACGCGGTCACTTTGGAAACCGAAACAATGAAGACGGTGCACAAGAAACTACTGGACAACAACCGAGTGCCGAGTATGTAAACAAAAATGTATAGAAAACGTTTTTGACAAAAAGCTTCTTCTGTTTCTGTCTATAGCTCAAATGTTGATAGTACTTTTGCTCAATCAACTACAATTGCTAGTCAAGATGCTGATACAGTTGCACCACAATCAGAAGAACAATTCGGAAGTAATGAAATGCGACGAGGTCGAGGCCCTTTTCGCCCGCGAGTTTTTCGTAATAATCGTAATTATGGTGGTGATCGTCAAAATCAATATGAACATGAAGGTGGTGAAGGAGGTCAGGAAAACTATCGACAATATCGTCGTCAACATGATCGTCAGCCACGTTCATATTCGTAAGTTGAAAAACGTAGATCACATCTGTTTTAAGATTTTCTTTTCTTTTTATAGAGGTGTAAAGCCTTTTGAGAAAAAAGATGGTGCTGGCGCACATAATTATGGTAAACCAACTGAAAATCCTGAAGAAGCTCGCGCAACGAAGTAAGATCTATTCTTTTTTGGCAATAAATACGAAAATAAAAAATCAATTCTAGTGAAACAACTGATGCAGCAGATCAAACAGAAACAGAAGCAGCAGCAGGCGCATCCAAAGGTTGGGCAGAGCAAGTTGATGAAGCCGAAAAACAGATGACATTAGACGAATATAAAAAACAATTAGAAGCTAAGAAACAAGCTCAACATGACAAAGTACCTCAATTTAATAGACGTACTGCTAATGAAGGTGAAGATCCAAAGAATTGGCAAAATTTTAAGCATGTATATCGAAAAAAAAACGATGAGGAAGGAGAAGAAGAAAGTGAAGAAGAAGGTAAATTTTGCTATTAGTAATCAATGGAAGCATAATATTTTTGTTTAGAAAATGAAAGTGAAGAAGAAATTGATGAAGAAAATACAGTTGGAAAAAAGAAAATCATCACAATTCAATTTCGCTTTAAACCTGTTGACCTTCCACGTGGTGGTTATAGTGGACCTCGCCGTGGTGCAGGTCGTGTTCATGATCGATCATATCGAGATGATTATCAAACATGTAAATAATAAATACGCTCATCAAAACAATCTTCACTTCCTTTTTGTCCCTTCTAGCTAAGTCGCCAAATCAACAACAAGGACGATCGTATCAGCAGATCGGTGAATATAAACCAGATGAACCACAACAACAACAACAACAACAACAAACAAGACCCTATGGTGGACCAAGTTAGTAGTTCACGTTTTTTTGAATTCTCACAATGAAATATATGAATCTATTAGGGCAAGGATCGGGTCGTGGAGAATATCGTCGCACATATAGAAATTCTACGCGTGGCGATCACAATCGATCTGCTGTAGACCCTAATAAATTTGATTTTGCCAATACGCTTGATTTTCCTATTCTTTTGAAAGAAGAAAAATAATCAAATGAAATCTATTCTTGCACTACAATTGATTTTTCGCTGGTATTATTCAACAACAAGAACAAAAAGCGTGTCGCACATAATCTAGAACAGTTTTACATGAGTTGTGTTATTTGTTTTTTTCTTTTATGCGTGTGATGTTCGAGAGCCTGGTGAATGAATCGTTTCGTATCTGAAGAAAAAAAGGAACTGCTCTCTTTTTTTTCCTCGTTATGATATCAATCTAAAAATTTTCCTAGGTACTTCACTAATCAACTTTTTCTCTCTCTCTCTCTCTCTCTTGTTTTGACTGTTGTTATTATTATTATTGTTGTTTTGCACTTATGCAAATACGACCTCTTTATTCATTGTTGTTTTTTTTATTTTTCTCTTTTATTGTTGCGCCCAAAAAAAAACACATGGATTGATGCTACACATATGCAACACACATTTGTTTTCGTTTCTTTTTTCTTCTCTTCTTCGTTTTTATACTGTTTCTTTTGTCTTACCACTTACTACGAAATCATTAATTCATGCATATGAAAATTGAGACTGTGTCTCTTTTTCTTTATATCCCACTGTTTTTCTTGTTCATCACAAATGTATACCAATCATTCGTCTTTTTTGTTTTGTTTGCCGCTACCGCGTGTGTGTGTTCGTTGCTACTGTTCTTTTTTTTAATTAAAGAGAAAAAACTCGATATGATTATGTTGAATACTTGAGTGGCCAGTGATGATTCGAAATACCAATCAAGCTCAACAGTCATGAATAATATTATGTTGAAAAGGTATCGAAACTGAGGCAAAACAAATGACCATTAAGCATCTTTAATATTTCTATTGATGATATTGAAATGTTTCAGTGAATTTTATTTCTAACGAGAGCAGTCTCACAACTGGCAAACTGCTTGAGGGTCGAGACTATTTGCATTATGTAGGTTCTATTGAACGATGGATATGCTGAAAAAGGTTCATATATTTAACTTTTTCTTGTCCGGGCACAGCGTCTTTTATGTTATCATTTGAATAAAATATGAGCCTTTCTCTCGAGAAATAATGAAATTTTTCTTTATGCACAGGCCTTAAGACGATCAGTTACAAACTGTTTTCTTCTCTCTATAGTAATATGAAGCTATTTTGTTAGGACCTATTTTTGCGGAATTCGAAAAAATTAGTTTGTCTATGGAGAACAACGTAGGTTTACTTTAACAACCGTAAAATTGTTGTGTCTACTCCTTAATGAATTACATGTATGAATCACTATGAAAGATATTATTCATCAATTCAAATATGTATTAAAGTTTTGGACATTCTAGAATATTATCAATTGTTATAAATAACAAATATTGCCAAGAAGTCACGCTTTTGAACGAAGCACATTCTAGTATGACAAACAGAGAGATTTATTCTTATTTCTTTTCCCTAGATAATTTACGAACATAAAATAATAGTAAATGATAAACTAATTTCCTTGTGTCACCAAAAACGTTTCCGGAAAGAGAATAGGAGTAACATAGATGTGGTCTGGATAATATGTTAACGTTTGAGACTTCTCATTATGATGAAGTTTTTAAATTATCACGAAATTCATTATGAACTATTATAATACTTTATTGCAGACTAAACATTTAGTCATCTCATTATAGTTGAAGAGAAGAATTTCTTCATTTGATTGTCTATTGAAAGACACATCATTCTGCATCGTATGTGCTGATTAGAACATTTGACAGTGACTAATCAAGCCGTATTTTCAGACCGTCTCATGGATGAAAGACTCAAAAAATAAGATTTTTTATTGACAAAAATAAATATCAATACATGGTCAAGTAATTAGAATTTATTTGTATGTCAATATAAACAGTGAGGAAATGAAGCTTTAATTACTTTGAATTCAATATATACATATACAATCTATTGGCTTAATCTACTTTTTCTTAAAGTTCGATTGGTTTCATACAGGTCAGAATGTGTAGTTCCTTTTATTCATTGACCACGCGTGACAAAAAGCAAACATATGAATAATTAGCACAAAACGACAAGAGACATGATAGAATACAATAAAACAAACACGATAACTTTTCATTACAACTGAAATTACACTATTTCTAGACAGAATATAAGATGAACTTTGGTAGCAATATTGCAGTTAACGTAATTATATCGCAGGCGGAAGTTGCTGTTAAATAGGAATAATTTTCTCTCGTAGAATTGTCTGCAAAAGAAAAAGATGAATATCTCAGCGAGTACTTAGACTGATTAGGGTCATTTACAATCTTCCATGTGTATTATCCATTAGTGTGTAACTGAATAAATACTCGTGAAGTTGTTAAGGCATATAAAGAACTTAAAAGTCACTTGAGAGATCGTGCTATTCACACTATCGTAATGATCATCTTGGGGCAAACTTGACAAACTTAGACTTGGAACATATAACGACATCTATCAAAAGTCTTCGTTGTACTATATAATATAAATGTTGATACTTTCTGTCTTCAAGAGTAACGCTTAATTGAAGTAGTTAATTTTGACTTTGCTACAAGCATTTTATTAATGTTGAAAATGAGATCAAATTTTATTTTTTTTCATATTGGCTGCTATTTTGTTCTTTCTTCATCAATGGTCTTTGTTTTCAAGACAATGGACACGCATTCCCATACAACACCGTTCAATATCGGTTCATCTTGATCATCATGTCTCTACTATAATTGCGTAGGTTTTTTTTTTCAAATTTAAGAGAGTGGAAGAATCGAAATATGTCCTCTAGGAATTTCAAGTTACTGAATTTAAATGATTCTTTGCTGTATTGAACATTTTGGCTTCATATTGATACTGCAGAACAAAATGTTCGTCATACACTACTGTCATTCAATATGATTTAATCAATTCGACCTTTTCTTTTATAGATCTGTAATCTAGTCATTTTTGTTCGCTGTATTTATTTCATTTGTTTTCTTTTATCAAATGGATGCTCAATTTGAGCGTCGTCTTCTGCTATCTATGAATGGACAAAATTCATTATCATCATACACCAGTCCAATACAATCGCCTATTAAAGCAAGTGATCGATACATTCCACTTCGATCTTCTCTGTCGGCATCAAATCTTCACTATGAAGTAAATATTTCACCGTTGCCATCACCTTGCAAATCACAGTGTTCATCACCAAATAAAAAATGTAAATATGAACTCAATGAAATCGGTCTTAGCTCTGGTGTAACAGCGAGTGCACCAGATTTACTTGTATACGATCAATTGTTACAAAATACGTTATTAAATACAAATATTGATTCGATATTGAAAATTTCTGATGTACCAAATACAAATTATGAAAATTCAAAAACAGTAACAACATCAAAATCAACTGTAATCAGTAAAGAAAACACGTCCATATTTCGTTATTCTGAACGTCATCAAACGACTCCATCGAAAACAAATTTAATTACTAAACAACATTTTAGTCGATCACCGATATCTAATGCATCATTAAATTTACTTTTTTCACCAAACAGAAAAATTCGACATATTCCTGAACTTCCATATAAAGTTTTAGATGCACCCGATCTACAAGATGATTTTTATTTAAATTTAATTGATTGGTCACCATCAAATATTCTTAGTGTTGCATTAGGACCCTGTGTCTATTTACACAATGCTCAATCAAATAGTGTTCAGTTGTTATGTGATTTTACACATACACAATTACCAGTGCCAAATAATCATCGATTGAATATTATCGGTTCAGATACAGTTACATCAGTGAATTGGTCGGAATGGTCAAATATAATAGCTGTTGGTAAGAATATTACCTAATGTATCGAAACAGAAAACGAAATTATTCGTCTTAACTATGATAGTGATCACCGTTCGATCGAGTAGTAGTAAGAATTTAAGTTAGTTAGTCGTTGCTTTTTGCTATCGGAGGTAGATATATCTCTTCGAAAATTAGAATAGATTTCCTGAATTTTATAATTCACACAACGTATGTATTGATGATAGATCAATTTTTATTTATTCATCCTGTACAATTTTAAATACGTTCGACTATCGATGGTTTTTCTCAATTCACTTCTATCATCACGGAAAAATCTCTCGTAGTTCATTTGTCTTCTTCGAACATGCATAACTATTGAACGGACGAAATCCATTCCGAGACAATAGTTGTAGTAGTACACATGAAATATGTAAACATACCATCATACAGAAATATACTAAACAATCTTTCTAATCTATTAGGTACTCAACGTGGTCATGTACATATATATGATGTTACAACTCGAAAACGTATACAATCTATATGTAAACATACAAATCGTGTTGGTGTACTTGCTTGGAACGATTGGTCATTATGTTCTGGTTCACGTGATCGATCAATTTTAGAACATGACATACGTCAACAATCCACTGTAAATCATCTTCGTGGTCATACACAAGAAGTTTGTGGTCTTAAATGGTCACATGATAAATCTATACTTGCTAGTGGAGGAAATGATAATAATTTATTTCTCTGGTCAAAAAGTCAGTCAACACAACCATTACATTCATTTAATGATCATATAGCTGCTGTTAAAGCTATAGCTTGGTCACCACATCAACATGGTCTTTTAGCATCGGGCGGTGGTGCAGCTGATCGACATATACGTTTTCGTTCATCGTTAACATGTCAAACATCAAATGTATTTGATACAGGTTCTCAAGTATGTCAATTAATATGGTCGAAGAATTCTCCGAATGAACTAGTTTCAACGCATGGCGTTACAGAAAATCATATAGTTCTTTGGAAATATCCAACCATGGAGCCATTAGCTAAATTAATCGGACATCGTCTACGTGTTCTCTATTTAGCAATGAGTCCCGATGGCGAATCGATTGTAACCGGTTCTGGTGATGAAACACTTCGATTTTGGAGTGTATTTCCAAAAGCAAAATGTACAAGAAATCCCGATTCGAAATTTAATGGACTCTATCAAATGCGATAATTTTTTTGTGTTTTTGTTTCTCCGTCTGTGACTTTATTTATCACTTCTCTTAATTTATTGTAATAAGCATTGTATCTTACGACGCCATATTGTCGGATAATGATTTTTTCGCTACTGATTCTTTTTGCGTCAAGCGGACGTCTTATTTATCCTTGTGGCCTTTTCTTTTGGCTTCGTTAAATAATTTTTTGTTTTTGCATGTAGTAAAATTTATTGGTAACAATAATTACGTCTGGCATGTGTCAGATTGACACGAATAAATAGCTGCATTGAATTTAAGAAAGAATTTGTTTTATAAATCTCCCGTATAACATACCTTTCTCACTTGGGATAAACAAAATATTTCAAGCAGTTTTACTATTTGTAATATACTGGTTCATAGAATAACATACACTCAAAAAAATATCTTTTGTCATTGATATGGATAAGTCAAGAGAACTTGAAAATGGAGCACGAGCTAGTAATCCGTATATTGAATGAAAATTAATCACAAGTATTTTATTTTATTTGCTTTCTTATAACCGGAAATCTGAATATTTTTTCGTATGAAATAGGTAAGCTGAATCAACTCTTATTGTTTGCATGACAGGAAAGTGGATAAACTATCTAGTAGATATAATTTAGTCTGTTTGTTTCAGTTTTAAGCTAATTGAAAAATCATTTTTGTCTAAAAGTAGTTGTGCATCAGTTCGTTGTTTGGAACAAAAAGATAGCTTCAGATTGAACACAAATAAGCGTATAGTACCAGAGATGGACCGACAACAAACATAATTGGATTAAGAAACGTTAGATAGTCTCTCTTTTTTTTTTTATCTAGGGGCAGGTTATATTTCTTCAGAGAAATTTTGCTAGTCTATTGAGCATTCATGAAGAAATTCACTTTGCAGCCGATTCGAATCGAGTCAAGCTATTTTTGCAACTTTTTTCGGTCTCATTTGTTTTTCTATTAAGAATGTCAATAAAAAGTTTTGTATTAATGATTTTTCAAGGATGAGTGCAAGCAAATAATTATACATATACTATAAAGAATCTGTGAAATCCACATTAGGCTGTATACAGTCGTTTGTGGTGTATAGACGGACAGTATTTCAGTGAGGCTCCGGTCGTATATAATGATACTAGCGATGGTTTACGATGTCGTATTACTGTGTCTGAAGTTACGGAACATTCCTGACTGCTTACAAGTCCATACGGTGTGTAATTCTAAATAGATTACTTGTTTAACGAAAATTTTTACACTCGAATAAACACATTTGAGTTTTATCAATATTTTATTTTCTTAAGTGTTAATGCAGTCCAGACACGTCAACAAGCAAAAGCAACGTGAGATTTGTCAATAGTTTCTTTTCTCAGTACCTAACACCAAGAAATTCGAAGGAAAATACCTATAGTATTACAAGTCTTATGCGAAAAAAAGTACCCAGACGTTTTCCTATCAATATAAATAGAAACATTTCGTGGAACTCGTTTTGTGTACCTTACTATTTCAATGCATGCATTGGAGCTATAACCGGCGTTGTTTTTCTATGTATGCTCTAATCCTGTTGATCAGTTTGATTTGTAAGTGATGTAGTTTTGTTTATATGGAAAGAAAACGTTTTTCTCTATTCATTTTTTCAGACGGGCAGTCAACGATCAATTAATGCCATCTCAATGTCTCAAAAACATTTTAATGTATGACAGGCATTTACCAAACGATATTTTCTTTTGGACTTAGTGTATCACCTAGCTACAATTTACCTCTAGCATGCGTCACAAATCCTACAACTACGCCACTTTCTTTTTCGGATGACTCACTCTATGTAAGTCTAATGAATGCGCATGATGATCGCAGAGATCTTTTCGTGTGTATCCTATCTTCAGAGTGATGAAGAAGATGAAGCGATATGGTTGAATAAATTACAACAAGAACATGGCAACAAAATGAAAGAGTGAGAATAGAAATACTACGCAAGCTTCAACAAAAATGAAATGAGAAGGTCGAGAAAGAGCGAAATCAATTGATCGAAAAAATACAGGAAGAAATAAATGAACAACAGCGTCAACGCTTAATAAAACACCGGTGGCAAGTGCTCTTTTTAGTTCTAACATGTGCTAACTGTCTTTAGTCTAGAAAATATTCATCGACGAGTGATCGAAAAAGGGAAATAAAACAAATCAATGAATGAAATTTGTTTTTGTAAATGATTTGTTTAATTGTGCAATTTTTCTCTGTTTATATCGAGTATATTCCGTGTGTGCCAGAAACGGGTTCTATTATTTTTCATAAAATATTTTGTAACTATTACAATTACAAATAAATATCAAAGATGAAGAAAGAATATTGGTTTCATTTTCCTCTTTTGTCTCTTGTTTGCAGAGAATTAAACCTTAAATTCATATAGTTTATGTTCTGAGCAAGTCGCTGATGTTTATAACTAAACTTTTCATTAAATATTAGATACATTTGAGAACACAGTTAATCTACCATTAAGTGATATTTGATAAATAAATGGCATTAGAAAAACAAAAATGAATAAAAAAAACGAGACTACTGTTGCCATAGCAATCATATTGCAATTGTTGCTCTTTTTGTCTATCTCTTTGTTTCACATTTCGAGTGCATCCATATTCACATGCGAAAAAACCTTGTAGAAAAGAAAAAGAAAAACTTGCGCTTATATGCATAGAAGTGAAAGGAGGTAAAAAAATGTTCTAGTTATTTTGTAGAAATTGGTTGAGTTCTGTTTTCGAAGCTCGTATAGTTATATAAGACTACTATATTTCATGTATGTCTATCTTTTGATTTGCAACATACTTAAGGTAATCATATTCTTATTTATCAATTCTTGTCATTAAATACATGCTACCATGAATAGCTAAAATACTATCTAAATGAGTTAATAATCATTCTTTTTTTTTCTTTATCCTTTAGAAAATTCACATGATCAATGATGAAAAAACAAAATAGCCCACAAGGAAAAAGAAAGTTTATTTCATTGTACAGTCAAGAGAAAAAAAACGATGGTGGCGATAGCATAAGATAGATGCTCACATATGCAGCTATTGTCTTAATATAAAAGTCACGTATATCTTTTTCTTTTCTTGTTTTACAAAATTGAAAAAAATAACAGCAAACCAATTGGGTAGATGGTAGCCATGAGTACATCATTAGGTAAGAACAAAAGCCTATAAGGAGAGAAAGCGAAAAGGAAGAAAATACTCGTTTTTTTTATCAGGTAAGTAGTACAGATATATACAAGAAAAGTACCGCATTGCATATGACAATTCAATAATAATAATAATAATAATAATAATAATAGATACCCATGACACTTATTGTGTTGGATTTTTACGAAAGTAGATTATTTAGAGTTACACTTGACATTTAAGAAAAGCAAAAAAAAACACACGATAGTATTACTCTCTATAGTAATAAAATAGATTTATAATATAATACAAAAAAAAACTTCAGAACAATAAATAAACATATTATTAAAATCTAAATCGAGTGCTTATGACTATTTTAACACTATTGATGCCAGGTTTGTTTTTATATTCTGCTACTTTGATTATCTTGAGAGTATATTTTTTTATTATTTTGCAAAAGTTAAGATGGCCTGTTCGAATTGAAAATAAATAATGAATGTTTATTTGCAATAAACTTTATATTTAAAAAAAAACGAGCAGAATATATACACCGAAGAGCTTGTCTGTCATACACACTATCTGATTGTTTAATATGGATACATTGACATTTATTTTATTTTAATGTGAAGATTATCCTATGAGAATAACATCAAGCATTTTAGCTATAAATCAAAGACGTTACCTTTTAGCTACGCGATATTCAAGCCTGCATCCAGTAGCTTATTTCTATTCAATATCATTACTTTATTTTTTTTCTGACACATAAAAACATGATTTTTTGTTCTTATCAATGATTGTTATAAATCGATCGTATTTTATTATAAAGTCCTTTTTTCTAAACTACAGGTGAAGTGTCTATCTAGTCACAATATAAATATTCACAGTTGCTTTGATTTTTTTGGAGAAAAACAAAATTTCTAAATTAGATTTTTCGATTCATTTTAGATAATCAAAAATGTCGTCTATTCTGTTAACATCATCATTTAATTCTAGCATAACTCAAGAAAATATTCTCGTGCCTACTGCTACAACGCCAATTCCAGCTGCAAATCCTTATGATCATCAAGGTGCTGCACTCTACATAGCTGTTATTCTTGTTTGGTATTCCACTGGTTTAGCTATGATGCTTTTTCTTCAAGTACGCCCACGTACATTACAACAACAATTTTTACTGGATTCATCAAATTTATCGAGAAAAGATCGCATTCAAAAAATGACAGCCAATCCATTTACAAACTATCGAAATATTGAAGCTGATCATACAACAAAACTAATATTAAATGAATTAAAAGATCCTGAACGACGACAACGTCTATGGAAAATCTATTATGAATCAGCAGACAAAGAAAACCAATCAAATGAAAAATATTATCAAACAATTACATCAGATAGTGCTACGATTGATCGTATCAAACGACGATTAGCTGATATACATCGAATGGATTCAACTCATGATCGCGAATTACCACCAGCATCATCACATGTTGTTCAGCCAAACGAGAGCCGAATATCGACTGTTGGTTTTGATACAACAAAACTATTTTCTAAACGTTTTTCGTTACGTCGACCAGCTCATACTACATTATTAAATAATCGATCAAACTCAAATCGTAGTCAAAATCAGCAATCGACTAATAATGCTGTTGAAATGGAGCTTCTGATTGATAGAAAACAATCATCGTTGGTACCTTCAGAAACTAGTGTACCTCAACACAATAATACAGGTTCAGAACGATTTACTGTCGAAAAAGTATCTGATCTTAAACTAGCGAATGATACTATTAATGAAGACGAATCAGAATAGAATGATTATATATGCTTCATTATGTGCACGTCTACTTAAATCTGCAAAAAACAAAGCAATTATCATTTCTCTAGTCAAAAATCAATGATGATTAGACAGAACTTTTTTTAGCAAAAAAAAAGGATTATTATTTTTCTTTTTTTTTCTACCTAGATAGTTTTAATTGCTTTATAGATATGTAAAAATAAATTAATAAATAAAAATTCTGTGTATATTTGATAAATTTGTCACAGTTTTGAAATCTGATATGTAAGTGACGAAAAAACCCAACTTCGAGGGAAAATATTTAACATTAATATTAGATTTTCAGAGAGAGTCAATTTCATGTGGTATGTAATTTCTCGGTTCTTACTGTAATTAGTTGAATCGTGGAGGATTTTTTTGTTTTTCTTATATCTTCAAACAGAATAGCCGTAGATCGTTCGGTATGATGGATGTGGTATCGTCATGTGAGCCGGCAGGAACAAAAAATTAGTAATATACTTGGTAGTAAGCAGTTCGAGCAAAATATCCAACATGATTTGTACAAAAATGTATCATGAGAACATATGTGTAAGTATTTACTGAATTAAATAAGAAAAATTGTTTTTTCTACACAGCAGAGATTATTTCAAAACAAGACAAAATCATGATAATATTCTTAGTAAGTCGATTAGGTAGGAAAATTGTTTTTTTTTTCTACCTAGAAGACGATCATCTTCATTATTTAAACCGGTAATTTTAAATCTATTCTTCTTAACGGTCTGCAGTTGAAGTTCATTACTACAATCCATAAAGTAGAGAATTAAAGCCCTGGAAAATTTAGAAATTGCACCCGATTTTTAACCAATTGCATCCATTACAAGTCGTGAAAACCCTTTCTGAGACACTAGAGAATAACACGGAATGAGTTTTTATCCACTTGGACAATATTCATTTATAGACGAAAGTATATTTTCCCGTTTGATTTTCATTATATTGATATATAAAACTTAGATTTTTCTCTGTTTTCATCACATATTCTAACTGAATGGAATATAATGCACTCTTATAAATGAATACAAATAGCAAGACCGTACTCCTTGTAATTCCTATTACTATTTATAATATCGCAAAATGAACAGTGCCCATTTCATTATAAATAAAATAAATAAAACTAGAGAAATAGTGCTATGGGTAGCACTGTCTTCATTATAAAGTGAAACTAATCCTACTGAAACACAATAGAGCAGAAGAAAAGAGGAAATTATCACCTTTCAATCAAACTCTCGTTTTTTTTTATTGTTTTACTAAAGCATATCTAAACAAAAATGTCTCCGTGTGATTTTTTCCCTGGAACTGTTCTCATATTTTAATACAAAATATTTCCGGTGTCAAGTGTGAAACATTGATTTTTTTTCTATAAAACGTCATTTAGAATTACAGCCAGTAGCACGAAGAAAAGGAACCATATTCTATAGAAAAAAAATCGAATACTTTATTTGTGAGAATGAATGCAAAGCACGAGTTGAAAAATTAAGAGAAAAGACAATTAATAGTGTGCCTTGCTGACAGGAGCACGTTCAACTAAATACATTCGAGAGCAAAAATCGAGTTGACAACATCGAAGGAGAACACCAACCACATATCTGTATTCAGTGAATAAGAATGAAAAAGTCATCAGATCGTTACCCATTAATAATTCTTTTTTTCCAGTGAACTCCGTCCGTATGCCATAACAAAAGTTCTGCTAAGTAATATAAGCAAGAAATAAGAGTAGAAAGAAAAAGCCTCAGGAAACACTATTGATTTAACAATGTTCATTCAAATGGCAACGACAACGACAACGACAACGACGACGGCGACGACGGCGATGGCATTGACAGAAAAAAAGCTAGTCGAAGAGACAATTCAGTAACTCTTATTATAAAAACAAACTCTTTATATATATATATATTTATTTATTTATTTATTTATACATGAAGATTAATTCAAGTTTACTCTTGTTTTTTCTTTTTAGATTAACATCGACAAGAAGGATGAAGTTTTTAGTTTTATTCTTCGCAGTTGTTTATTATTTTGAGAAATACCAAGTGTCACTAGCAGACAATCATTCATATAAACATTATTCAAGACATTTAGTTAATGAAAAAAACTATGATAATGAAACATTAATAGATAGTGACGATGAAAGTAACATGTGTCATTTAGCTGTAAAATGTCCAAGTGCATCAAAACTAAGTTAGTAAATCTGCTAGATTCTTTTACATTTTATTAGCGAATGATGATATTCTTTTTTTTTCATTTTGACTGTTAGCCTCATACGACCAAGATAATCGTAATCGTCGTTTTACTGTCGATACTTTCTTAGCAATGCATGGTCCTCCAGGCCCATCTGGTCTACAAGGTCCTCCAGGTGGTGTTGGGCCACGTGGCGCTGCTGGACCTCAAGGTAAACATACATTTCATTCGGTAAATAATTGTAAAATAAATGTATGTGTTTTCCTGCATATAGGAGCAGTGGGTCGTTCAAAAGAGCCCGTACCTATTATAGCTTTTGTTGCTCATCTTCAACAAATGTTGTCGGTTGAATCCAATCGATCAGAAACAATCGTCTTTGAAAATGTTGGCATCAATGAAGGAAGTAGTTATAATCCAAAAACGGGAATATTCACGGCTATTCATCGAGGCGTCTACAAATTCAGTATGACAATTATGGCACAGATGGATTCTATCGTAAGTTTAATTTCATTGCATTGCTTTTGTGAAATTACTCTTTGACATAGGCTACTGTGCGCATTGTTCATAATCAAAAGGATGTTCTGGGAATGATCCGATGCGATTGTCGACGTCGTTTTTCACATGTTCGAGGAAATGTCTATGTAGAATTGGAACCCAATGATGAAGTAATGGTCGAAGCACTTGGCGACCCCAATAATCCTGGACAATCTGCACCTCGCAATAATATTTATGGATATTCCTATACACATTTTAGTGGCGTACTTTTATTTTTAACAAATAATTTTTAATATATGTTCATAAAAAATTTGCTTGTTTTTATTTCCTGATTGAGTAGAGAAAACAAAATTAGATATCCTTTTTTTTAATTACTATTATTATTATTATTCGCATTCGTGCAAATGATCTATTTTAATAAACCAAAACAAAATTAGTTTTTCCTGCACGAATAGTTTATTGTGTAAATTTTTTCGTGGAAAAACATATATATGAAGGTCATGTTTTCTTATTTGAACTTGATACGCATCATTTATTAATAATAGTTGGCATTGTAAAGTTATTTCTCTATTAAATAAATATGATATTTCATGCTGCATACGAACAAAAAGAAGATAGCGCTTTTTTAATTAAGTCTCCAATTTGATTTCTCGCTTTTTTGCATACGTCATGTGCTTGAAGTAGCAATGTCAATCGAACTTGATCTTTGCCAAGTCATTGGGGAATTGTTTTAGTGAAATCTCCAAGAAAAGACATGAAAACGATCGAATTTTTTCATTCTTTACTTGTCGATCTCACAGACACACACACTCCCTTTCTTTCTCTTGTGTATATATGTATTTGAATTTTGGCTGTTGCCGTTGTCACCATCCTATATCTAATTCAATTGGACTAAAATGAGTGTCATTTCTCTTGAGAAGAGAATGGAGCGACAATAGTTATGATCTAACTCTCATGTTCTTTTCTTAATAAATTTTCTCCGCAAGTCTCAGCATGTACATGAAAAGAAATGCAAACTTAATGAATAGTAAAATAACATGGACCAATATCTTATTTATTTACATGGTAAAATAAATAAAAACTTTGGTGAGTGCTATTCATTATAAGTTGTCATCTTGTATCATACTTTGAGTCTTGTTTACTAATTTCATTGTCTATGAAATTTATTGTATCAGTTTTTTTTTGCATTCTTTCTCTCTCTTATATTTTGTTGTATGTAGTGCAATTGCACTGTTGATAAGAAAGATCAAGGAAAGGATTTCAAAATATAAAACGCCTAGCTATGCAATTGATGTGTCTCGCTTTCCGATTGATTTGTGCTTCCGAGAAACGCAGTTTTTTTTATTCTATTCTCTTGATCACTGGATTTCATATCATCACGTCAACGATAAGAAAAAAAAATCTTAATGGATTTTTGGGCATCTAGCCGCATTCATACACATGAGTGTACGACGACATTTTTTATTATTATTCTTCTTCGAGTTGATAGTGCTTGATTGAAAACAAAACAAATCCAAAAGGAAAGAGAGAAAAGAAAGTACATGTAAGAGGACGAGCCTATCTTTTATTAAAAAAAGAAGAGAAAAAAATCCCATTGTATTATTAATGTTGTCTTCACCAATTTATTGAAAGTGCGACGTTTCAAATGTTTTCCCTTCTGTCTCTTGATCTATGTATGCCGATGGGGAAATTTTGGTCGTAATAGTTGTAAGTGCCTCTCTCTCTCTCTCTCTATATATATATATATATATATATATATATATATATATATATATATATATATATATATATACATACACACAAATAATATATACAACACCGGTGCAGCGATGGTCACGCGATCGTGTTCTTCGAATAGGTTGATTCGTTAGGGCAGCATTTCCGTTCTTTTCTCTTTCTTCTTCTATGTATGTATGTGTGCGCACTTGAACCAATGAGGTAGACTGTAAAATATATATATTTGGATAGATACTTAACGAATCTAATTGCTCTACGCTAGTTTCTTTTTCTTTGCTTTTTCCCTCTATATACATATTTACTAATGAGCAATATTATTTAACTTGTAGAAACAAAAAAAAACATAACGAATGGTAACGATAATTGAAATTAATCTGACGGATATTTTCTTTATGTAGTGTTATTAAATATCAAACTTGATTAAATTATATATCTATTATAAATTATTATTTTAATTTTAAATGTTCAATACCGATAGATGCGGTATTGTTCATATTTCGCAATATTTTCTTTCTTTGAATATGTTATTTTCATCACATCAAAACAAATACCATTAATTGGACTTTTTACATCGGATAATTATAATAATCGTTCGTCATCATTAATTATTAATTATGCGTTAAGCCATTTAAAAACGATACAAAATTTATCTACAGAACTTTTTATACAGCACGCTCAACAAGATATTCCATGTGATATGGCTGTTGGTACTAAAGTGGTTTTTGATATGCTGAATCGGCGGCCGAGACCATTGGCTATATTCAGTGGTTCTTGTCAAACCGTAGCATCAGCTATTGCTGAAACAGCTGGAATATATGATATGACTATAGTATGATGTTAATCTTTCAGTGTTGAAAATATTTCGATTTATTGTTAATCATTTTCAATAGATAATTTATTCAGAAACAAGTTCACTTTTTACAGCTCGAGAAAAATATCCATCATTAATTCGTACTGTGCCTGGCGATTCTCAACATAATATAGGTAACATATAGAGAAGTCTTCACAGAAAATACATCGATTTATTTCTTCAATAGCTCGAGAATTGCTATTAAAAAAGTACAATTGGCGACGTTTTGGAATACTATACCAATATGAAAGACAATATACTATGGTAAGACGATTTCTTATGATGTAAACATGTGTTTGTAACTTGATCTATTGATTGATATTAGCCTGTAACACGATTTAACGATCTTTTGCAAGATGATGCCGATTGGGAAAATGCTGTATCGAAAGGTATTTCATTTAATGATCTTGATGAAACTCAAGGCAATCGAACACGAAACTCGCTAAAAGATGCCTTTGATGAAATACAGGTAAGCTTTATTTTCCTTATGCACTAATGGTAGGATATAATTATATTTGAGAAAAAAAAGAAAACCTAGGAAACTAAAGAAAATTACATTAACAAAAAAAAGGAAACTTATCCGGAATCTGCACGCAATATATAGGCTTTCAATTTTTCCTCTCATAAAACACATGACAATAGAAGCATCACGGAATCTATGAGTTAACGATGTAAATTATATCCTTATGAAAATGATAAAGAATATTTGAGAAAGGAAATCCGATGCTTTCTTGATGACAAGATGTTTTATTTTTTTCCATGTTTCCATGAATCTGGATCTTCGTTAAACTAAAATATAACGACAAAAAGAGAATTCACAGATAAATTTGAATTCGTGAATAACATTAGTTGACGGTGGACGTCTTAGGTACTTAGATATGGTCGATAATATATATTTTTGATACTCAATAAACAGGAACTCTGCTTTTAGTGAATCAAGAAAAAAGTATTTCTAACAAAAGAACTTCATTCGATGTATCTATTGAAATTATAAGTGTGTAAATAGCTTTAAAATAGTTAATTGTTCTCATAGGCACATTTCATTTATTTTTGAATACTATAGAAACATTAAGCTAGCAAACAGAACTATTTGTTTCATTGAATGCAATGCTCTTTAAAACCTGACGACCATTCAGTTCTATCCCAAACGCTTGTTTCTTTGTATGTCTTCTTTTTGGTGCCGATGCGCGAGAAAGCAATCACATAGTAATTTAAGCAATAAACTGATGGCTTCTTATTCTTCTCATAATGATTGATGTGTATTATTTCTTTTATGATCTGTTTTTGAGTAAGACATCAGTCTTTTTCTGAGTGCCCTGGAAGGAAAATTCAATATAAGTGAGTCAAAGAAGCGATCTGAATCAGCTTATTAAAATGATCTTGCATAGTAACTTTTCATATATATATATATATATATATATATATATAAAGAGAGAGAGATATATACCCTAAGAGAATTGAACTAAATCAAATAATGGAAGGATAAGATTTCACGTTCTAATTTAAAATGATTTCTATTATCTGCATTATTATTGGGAAAGTTCCATAATATTAATAAACGATTAGATCTTCTAAGGGAAATTTTCTATATATGCATCTAGAGAAATAACATTCGTATTATTGTGGGAAATTTCAATTCAACTATGGCTACTCGTATATTTTGTGAGGTAAATAGAAAAATAAAATCAAGACAACGAAAATATTTCATGAATGGAAATATTGATTTAGGCATTTCGTTATAATCTATACGGTTCAAGATTTCAATGGATTATTGTTGGCTATTATGAAGAAGAATGGTGGCTAAAAAATCAAGGTTCTTGTAATACATCTGAAATTCTACAAGCATTAAATGGAACACTTCAAACACGTGTAGCTGAATTAGGCTATAGTATGAATTCTCAAACATTAGCTGAATTGGTTTGTTAAAGAGTCTTTTTAGTACTATTTCGTATACGAAATAACTATTTTAGACACCGGCACAATTTAAATTTGATTTATCACTTCTGAAACTGTCTTCGCATGATCTAAATCCATATTTTATTGGTTATAAATTTGATGCTATTTTAACTTTAACATTTGCATTTGACCAATTAGAAAAATCTTTATCAACAACAAATTGTTCAACTAATTTTACTATTGATTCAGTATGGCGACAATCCTGTTGGCGTATTGAATTATTAAATATAATAAAAAAATTCGATATACAAGGTGTGACTGGGCGTATACGTTTTAATAATGGTGATCGCATTGGTGAAATTGTTATTGAACAAATTTTAGGTATCTTAGACGTTATAGAAGATTTTCTTTTGACTTGTGACATATTAAAAAGTAGATTTTAGTATCTCGTAGTCGCAAAACAAAACCGGTTGATATTAGGAAATTATTTGTTGCATTACCAACAAATCAATCGACATATATTCTATTGGCTGCTAAAAATGGAAGAAATATTGCGTGGCATGGTAGGATTGGAAAAAATCGATTTGTTTTTGTTTCTCTTCGATTAAAACAAAATTCTAGGCAATGGACCGCCCAATGATCGTATAAAACGTATTGAACGTGATCAAAGAATTTCTGTATTGACTTATACGATAATAGCAATCATCAGTGGAACAGGAATACTTCTAGCAATAGGCTTTTTTGTTTTTAATATTGTTTTTCGTACTCATAGGTAAATGAATAGGAAACTTTTTGTTTCGATATATCTATTATTTCTATTACAAGATTTATTCGAATGTCAAGTCCACAAATAAATAATTTAATTATAGCTGGGAGTATTCTTGCGTATACTAGCGTTCTTTTAATGGGCATTGATTCAACATTACTTGGGAGAAGAAGTTCAGAAGCGGCCATGAATTTCATTTGTGCAGTAAGAAGTTCTGCTGATCTTTATAATGCGAGTCTTAGCGTTTTGTTTCTTGTGTGTTTTAAAGATTCGTGTGTGGACATTATCCATTGGTTTTACGATATCATTCGGAGCTATTTTTAGTAAAACATGGCGTGTACATACAATATTCACTAATGTTAATGCATCAAAACGAGTAGGATAGAAATCATTAAAGATAAAACTTATTGGTTTTCATTCTTATTTTTGAAGGCCGTGAAAGATTATCGTCTTTTCATATTTGTTGGAGTGCTTCTAGCTATTGATACAGTTTTATTAGCTGCATGGCAAATCGTTGATCCTTTAAAAATATTTAAAAATATTAGTCAAAGAGAGGTAAAAAATAAATATTAAGTGTTGCTTCATATTCTACTGAAAAAAAAACATATATAGACAAAAGATGAAGATATTGTTATTCTATGGATCTATGAAGAATGCCGATCAAATCGTCGTTCAATTTGGATTACAATGCAATCAATATATAAAGGTGTACTTATGGTAAGTAAATCTTTTTAAACGACAAAATATTCTAGTTGTATGACTATGTAAAGAAGTCATTGTTTCAACGAGACTTGTAGTCAGACCCGCACTCGAGAATTTTTCATCCAGAGCTGCGATTTTTTTGGAATGCAACCAGCTCGTTATGAATGAATGAACGCAGAGAAATTGAGTCTTGCCCTATTTTACTTTTAAGGTTGACCAGATTGTTGATATTAAAATAGTGTTTTTTTTAAGCGACTATTATTAGATGTCTTTCATGTTCCTGTGAGCCCTGCTGTTCTACAATAGTCAAATCTCCGAGTCAAATCTCAAGAGGATTATTTGCATATATTCTATACTTTGAATAGAGTTATTTCATCAAACTATCGATAAGAAAATAACTCAAGAGAGATGAACTTAGAAAGTCCTAGTCGTAGACTGAATAAATTCTGAACGAACCATAAGTCAATATTTTTCTTTTTAACAAGGCTGTTGGTTCTCGTTTTGCTTGGGCGACTCGACATGTGCATATAGCAGGATTGAACGACTCGAAATATGTTGGCATGAGTCTCTACAATGTTGTTCTACTAAGTATCATAACAGCTGTTGTTGGCTATTTTTTACGTGATCAACATGAACGTTCATATATATTAACATCCGTATTTATATTACTTTGTGTCACAATAACATTATGTTTAGTATTTGCGCCAAAAGTTCTTGAAGTAGCCAGAGATCCACGATCAATAGCTAAACCACAACGTCCAGTTGTGCGCAATGCTAGAAACAATTTGCCGCCAGATAAAACACCAGAGAGAAAAATGCTGTCACATTATAATCAACAAATTATTTTACGCATCAAACAATTAACAAATCAAAATGATGCATTGAAATTAAATACAACGAAGGTTAGTTTTTAATTTTTCCTTCGAAAAAAACTAATCAAGATGTAACACTAAGGAATTTCATACGTTTATTGTAATCGAGATCAGGTTCTCTTGAATGGCAATATTCGATAGTAGAATAAATTATGATTCATTCTATATTTGTTCTTATTTTCAGTGTGATGCATTAATCAATCAACTGCTATCAGCTTTAGAAGACAAAAACTGCAAAAGATATAAGTTTGAAATATTTCTTCGTAAGTGATGATTCATTTGATTATGTAAATGACCTACTAGGATCATTTTTAGCTTCCACAACGCTGTTCATTGATGAAACCACCAAAACACATGAGTCGGATTGGTTACTTGAAGATCAAAATGATTTTCGAAAGTAAAAGAAAATATTTACTGACTACTCTGTCTTGTATAAAATTGTTTTTTCCCTTGTGAATCTTGTTTTTTTTCATTGTATCTGAATAACTTGAATAAAATTGACAAGTGGATTTTTTTAAATCTGTGTAAGTAACACATTTATTTCAGTATTCTCAATACTCAACATATCTTCAAGGTTTTTTTTCTTCTTCATGATTAGACGATTTCCGCAAAAGACATAATCATGTCTTCTGTAGAGTGAAAAATGAAATAGAAATATAGTGATACTGATATCTATTTTATCAAGCGACTTTCGCCAGACACAAATATCGAATGTTTCAAAAGTCAGCGCCGAAAAGTAAAGTCGTACGACTTCAGGATTTGTCAAACTAACGTTAGTCAAATAATTTGTATCTTCACTAAAAAAGAGACACCAAAACGAATACCTATCTCAGCTATTCCTTTTGACTCTACTATAAAAGTCAGTCGTATTCGATTAAAAATAATAACATTTCCAAGCATTCTTGTCCTAGTGCTTGAATTTTTTGTGGTTTGTTTTTTATTGAAGCAAAAGTACGGCTGCCTTCCGGTGTCGAGAACACGAAAGCATTTCAAATTGACTTAGTGTAGTTTACGGTTTACCGAGGAAAATAGATTGATACCAACAAACGGTAACCAATTGGAGTTTATTTGGTGTAAGTTACTCTTTATATAGTAAATATTCGAAACAGTATGTTGTTGCTACACAAATCTTCTGAAGTTTGAGAGTTGCGGTTATTTTTTGTTTCTCGTAGAAAGAGTTGATGACTATACGAAGACTATCTCCAAATGCTCGATATCGTTATACGTAAGTATATGTAGCCATAGGTGAAGAAAACAATGGATGCAGATCAATAGAGGAAAACTCCAAGAAAAATTCAAGATCTCCTAAAGTCTATTGATAAAGCCCTTGCAATTTCTTAGATTTTGAAATATTCACTTTATTTTGTTTTTTGGATAGCAACGAAATTCACATAAAAATCGACTCATACTCTTCAGCAGTGGAAAAATAGATTCACAAATGTTGTCTTCATTCAGCTAAATTAGAAGGAGTCGCACATTTGTGACATATCTATTCTTTAAAGTGGTAATTTTCTGAGTAGCGTTTGAATAGTAACTCCTTTGTCGCTTGTGAAACTCAAAGAAAAGGCGATTCTTTAGTCGAACACATGAAGATGTGTACAGTGTTGATTAAATATTTTTTTCTAGCTTACGAAAACTTTTAACCAATATAAACTTAACTTGCAAGTTCTATTCTTATATGACATGAAACGATCAATTTCATACAGGATGCATAGGCAAAATTTAGTTTAGATGCTTGACTGGTAGAAAACTTCATGTTTTTACTAACCCATCGCCACGTTCTCAACCAATCGGAAAAAATGAGAATATAACTGGCAGATTGCTTTCAATTTCGATGTCTAAGGGAAATTCAACACCAGACGTCTAAATGTCAATCGAATGGACGAGTAACTTACACTAAATCAGCTCAAATTTCTCAGTTCCAATGGTATAGAATTGCTGATTTTGGTAAATATAAGATGAATCCGTGTAGCAGGCGATTATAAATAAAACCCGGCTTGGCTATATTCGATCGCTATTTCGGGTATGTTGACGCAACTCTTCCGACACTGAATGTAAATATATTTTGAAATCTAGGATTAAAAGAGAAAATTTCTCGAATGCTTTTATTTTTTATCGAATAGGGCCGATTTTAAATTGCAATCGAAAGGAGTAGATTAGATTCACATTTTTGAAGTTTCAACTTTTCGGTAAGAACTTTCCAAGGTATAACTTTGAGTGGGAAAGGGTTAGTTTCTTAAGTGTGACCCATAGTGAACTCATAGAACTTTGCTTCTTCATACGACCTTTAGAAATGCCATGTCTGAGAAAGCAACAACGCTGTGTGCAAGTGTTTTGCCACCCAGCTTGAGAAGGAGTCGTCGCTGATGGGGTTCTACCATCGCGAATGCAGCAAAAAAATTCAAGTTCCATTTTGACGAGAAATTTGAATTTTTCATTGGTTTCTGGGTGTCGTTATCCATTTTCATTCAAAGCACCTATTGTTGAAAATAGAAAAGAGCAGTCCATCAATCGAAAACTCAACTGTTGTTTGTGCGCGATTTCTGTGGGCAAGCGCAAAATAATGAGAAAAAAGACTAAAAAACAATTTATATAGTCGTCATTTTTGACAGCAAAGCTAACAGCTTTTTCTATATTCATTTTCAAGCATGATTACTATGGATTTGATCTGGCTTACTTTACTTGTTTTACTAATGCCGATAAATGGTCAGCTGATTGATGACGGAATTTTACCTCCAGGTATTATTTAATTATTTATTCGCCGTTAGGAACAGCACCTTTGACTTTTTCTTCTATATACGATCATATTTAGCTCGTGACAATGAAAAACTTTCATTGTATGATCAGTTTCCTCGTGGTCGTTGTCCAGAAGGATTCCATCAATCTGGTGACGAATGCTTATATTTTCTTGTTGATGGCAACTGTTTCTCATGGCAGCAGACGCATTGTGTATGTGCACAACGCGTAGATAGCGCCTTGAAAAAATTATCAGAGTCCGGTCAGACAATTATGAAACCGGCAAAAGGTGCTCGGCAATTAGTATTAAATACTCCAGATAAGACGAAAATCTTGCGAGCATTTCTTCAAAACTATAAACAAGACAACTATGGCGTTAACGTTCTATATGATTTTAATACTTTGCCACGATGCTACGATGGAGTAGATGAAGACTGGCCGGAGTATTGTGAAGATAACTCATATTCGAATTCAACATGCTTCGAAACAGCATCTAATGGCAAAAACAATATTTGCTTACGAGAGATTCCTTGCAATGATACATATTTAAGAGTTGCTTGTGAATTTACATTGCCGGGTTTGTTTATAATCATCGATTGTTTAAATATATAAAGTCAGATTTATTTTTAGGAAGTTCTGAATTAACAAGCTCGAAATTTCATCATTGTATAAAACCGAAAGTTGCTGATCATTCATCTACATCTATACCATGGTGGGTATGGTTATTACTAGTTATTGGTGGTATCTTACTTCTTTTATTTATTATTGTTGCCATTGTCCTATTGATTTTGTTACTAAAAAACAAAAAGACTTCTACTGATTCAGTAGTGAAAAAAGATCCAGCTTTAAAACCAGTAAGACATTTCACCATATTATGTTCATATCACCCATTTCATTTCTTACTTCAGCTTGTCGATTCAAGTCCAGTAGCGGAATCTGCTTAATGGAATTTATTGATAACCTTGAACATAAACAACGGAAAATAGATGGAGTACTTAATTGAAACTCTTTTCACTTGTAGTTTTACTTTGTGAATACTAATTTTTATTTGGTTCTGTGCGACGCTCTCTTTCTTAGTTACTAATATATCTCACAGTGATACTAATTTCATGATTTTATTTTTTTCCTTTTTGTTTTATATGTTTTTCTGTTCCTCTGTTTAATTAAGAATTCTATTTTTATCGTGGATATATCGCGGTCCATCTCTATTGTATTATGGCGTGTGGACGTGCACGCGAGTGTCGAGTGATAATATAAAATACTTTTCGAGACTGCTTCCAACTTTTATAAGCCTTGATTTTTTTCTTCAGGATACACTCACAACAGAGTGTACACTCATGTTGAGTCCGATGACCTCCTTCAAAAGTATTATCAGTCACTAGAGAATAAAAATCTGCATCTAAAACTATCGGTTACAGACTTGAACAAGAGTAGAAAGCGAATTCTGCCTGAAAATAGTCGAATATCGTGCTAGCTTTACTTACCTATGCATATATGTAAGTCGATAGTGATTAGGGAATTGTGACTCGTAGCTCGTCGATACTCAACTTATGAATACTATAATATTTTTTAAATTTTACTTTATGTGATTAATATAAAATGACGATCATCCAGTTATATAGCTTATGACTTACAAGAATATGATAGTTTTTGATGAAAGAAAAACTAGTAATTTAACGAGCGAAAAACAGGCTGAAGTAATATGTCGACAAAGATAGAAATGAATTTACTTTTAGCTATTGTACTCTTGATAACAATCAGATATATCAAATACTTTTTCGGCTTTACAATAGTATTCTATTGTGTGAATAATATCTTTCTCATTACTATAGCTGTAACTGTGACACCAGAAGGATGTAGAATATTCTCATCATAGATAATTTCTCAATCAGGAAATTGTTCAGCTCTACGTCACCCTATTCATATCTCTGTTTCTGATAGCATTCACTTTATGGCAAGAGGCTACTCGTCGAAGTTTGATCATTCTTAGATAGTCTTCTTTAAAGTGTCAAAGCTTTCCGCTCATGTTGTATGCATTATCGATAGTACTCATATCACTTTTTTTTACCATAACGTTATTTTTAGTTTTTTTTTGTGACAAAAGTTCATGAAGTCAAGAGAGGATTCACGGTTAAGAACAAAACCGCAATATCCTAGAATATCAAATGTCAGAAAAAAATATACCACAGGATCAAAGAATCAGGAGAAAACTATTGGCATTTTTACATGCAACAAAATCGCAATTGTATATTGAGATCTGATTAAATCAAAAATTAACTTTTAATTTTTGGTTACTCATCATTTAAAAGTCGCTAAGGATTTCGATACTAATGTTTCGATTGACATTAAATTTTCTTGAATAGCAACGTTCGAGATTAGAATAAATAATGACTCATTTTGTATATTTTTTTCTCATTTCTGTGTGATGCATTAATCAGTGAACTAATATTAGCTATAGTAGATATAAGTGACAAATAATATCAGTTTGAAATATTTCTTCGTAAATGATGATTTATTTTATGACATAGGCTTCATTTTTATGATCATTTCAAGCTTCATAAATATGTTAAATTGACGAAGAAACCACCAGTACACAAGAATCGTAGGGATTAGTTGAAGATGAAAATCAATTTTCTGCATGAAAGCAAAATAAGCTGACTCATTTCTTTTCTAGGACAAATCTTTCGTTTTCTTTTGTGAATCATCTCTATTGGTATGAGTACTCTGAATATAATTCATTGAAAACATCTTTCAATCTGTATGAATAATGTGCTTATTCTCATAGTGCTGAGTTCGAATGATTATTGTCGTTCTTTCATTTCATGCATATGCAATTGTGTTGAGGGTTTTTTGTTTTATCAGATTTTTCTTTCTTCTTGGCCATTTTTGGCGGTCGATTATTCATCACTATTGTAGACTAACAAATAGAATTTTACGTTATCGGTGACAAACAAAAAAAAAGACTTGAAACGCAATTTTATCATGTATGTTGGTGAGACGTGAATAGACGAATGCGGTTACTACATGTATAATTATAGAGTAGTAGTGATGGAGAACGTGAAAAAAAAATAAAAAGAACGAAACTGTAATATTTACCGTTTTGAAACGGAATAAAACGACTTTTTCTTCTACATTCATTTTCGATGACGATGTCTACCAACTTGATTTTGCTTGCTATTCTTGCTTTGTCAATACTGATAAATGGTCAAACGAATGATGACCGAGATTTACCTCCAGGTATTTATCATGACTTATTCGCCGTGAGAGTCAAATAGTTTTAAAATTTTTCTCTTCGCAGTGTCATATGTAGCTGGTCGAAATACCAAAGTAGAATTTGATTCACAGTTTTCGCGTGGTGTTTGTCCAGAGCGTTTTTATCAATTAGGTGATGAATGTTTATATTTTTCTATTGATGGTAAAATATTTCAATGGCAACAGGCACAACATATATGTGAACGACGTGTTGGTCCTATCTTAGAACAACCATGGTCTAATCCCGATCAACCAAATATGAAACCAACTAAAGGTGTTAGACAATTGGTATTAAATACTCCAGAAAAAACTGAAATCTTTCAAGCACTTTTTCGAGAATACAGTGAACAAAATTGGGCTGTTCGCCTTCCATTGGATTATAATATATTACAACGATGTCAAGATGGAAAAGATGATAAATGGCCACAATTCTGTGAAAAGCGTTCATCCTTCAATTCATCATGCTTTGAAACTACATCATCTGGTCAAGATGATATATGTTTACGAGAAGTCGTATGTAATAAAAAATATCTACGACTTGCATGTGAATTTACATTACCGGGTTTGTTTAAACTTATGTCATTGTTGAATGCAAAAATTCGGATTTGTTTTTAGGAAGAGCTGAAATAACGAATTCAAAATTTCGTCATTGTACAAAAATTCGTGATGGTAGCCGTCGCCGTTTACCAGTCTGGTTATGGATTGTAATAGGTGTCAGTAGTGGCTTAATTATTTTATTAATTGTTCTTGCTGTTGCGTTATGGATTATGAAATCAAGAAAGAAATCTAGAAAACCTCAAAAATCTTTACCAGCACCACGTCGTTCAGAAGAAACCAGTAACGAGGATCCGATTTAAGTATTCTCTGACTTTCATTGTTATTTTTGTTTTTGCATTTTAGCTATACGACCGGTAATAAAACGTCAAGATCCAGCTGCTGAACCGGTAAGAATTTATTAGATTTTTTTTTATAAAATTCTATTTATCATCTTGCTTTAGATGCTTGTTCGAACTGGTCCAGTTAATACAGATGATTCGGATTATTTGCAACCTCGACTATCAGTAAAAGAAAATACAGCTAATGCCTAATTGCAAAAACAAAAATACTGTTGACTTGTATTTTTCCATCATCAACACTAGACTTTTATTTTTTGCATGTGTGTTTTTGTGCGTTTTTTCTTCTTCATTACACAACAAGAGAAAACATCAAGACAAAAAGTATCTGTAATATATTTCTAATAGAAACGAATGAAAGTTAGTTAACAGACAATGCTGATCTATAGAACATTTACTTATTTATTAAAATTCTTCTGACATGATGCTCAAGTAAATAATCACTAGATGGTTTTGATTACTCATTGCTATTGATCTCATCTCACTAGTATTGCTTCTTTTTTTTATAAAATGAGAAAGTTATTATATTATTAATGCGATACGAAGCACAGCATTTATGTAGTCCGTCGCGAATTTTCTTTCGCTTTTGCTTTTTCGACGTACGCATCTTTTTCGTCATTTTGTCATCCGATGATCTTGAGTACCGAAAATCATAGAAAAATCATTGAAACGAGCGATGAAATTATCGATATCGAACTTCTTACATCTTTTTTCGAATCTTCAATCTGTAGTTCCGTTCCCTAAGGAAAATGGTTCCAAAATGACGAAAATGAAAGAATTTATCGCGAGACTATTAAAGTGACGTCATCAACATATGTTATTCACTGTACTCTATTCATTTACAGCTGATCTCAGATAATGAATCATAGCGGTAATTAATCGATCAATCGGAATCGATCCTTAAGAATAGGTCGCTAAGTAAGAATATTCTCAGTCATGAATTGCATTATGTCGGCATAAAAAGTATTCAAGATTTCTCTGAATTGTAGATTTTTCGTGAAGATCCGATTCGAGCTTCGCATCGCATTCGTATTCGAGTGAAACTTGAATGCCATTTAGTTTATTTGAACATCTTTCGAATAAAATGATTTAGGAAAAAAGGCCCGCTAAATATTTTGTATGCATCAATACGACTACATTTATTAGAAACAACAATAGGCTGAAATAAACGCACAGTTCAATTCTCCAAGCCTTGCGTGTGAGTAACAAAGTCACAATAGGTTCAAAATATGCTGGGCAATATCTATTAGACAGATCAAAATTCTCTTCAAGAAACGGAAATTAAAACTCTAGGAGGGCGAACATGTATTTTTACGAGCATGAGTATACATACATATATATAAAAGAATCAAGACTAGACTGAATGATAAACGTAATTTCAGATATATTATGAACAAAAAAAAAGGATTATAAATGATACTATCATTTAATTATTTCTAAAATAATAGATCGTAAATATTTATATTTCTCAACAAAGGATTAATTTCAAATTCTATTCAGATGATAACTTATGCTTTCCTCATAGCAAAAGTGTGGCCTAAAAGCAAATATTCATAATAATTTAAGCAAATATTTGAATTCACTCGTTTTATAATATCCTATGTAATTTGCATTTTTTTGTGATCCAATGTACCTATGTGAAATATTTTATTACGCTAAAATAGAACTATAATTCGATTGTAATCTTATAAAAATTTATGAATTTTGTTAAAGTACAATTTTCAGATCTATAGGGAATGCAGTTGAATGATATTTTCAATAGACGACAGTTTAACTCTGTTTCGTAGTAAATCAATATATTTTGAAGAAGAGTGAAAATATATTTACAAAAATAAACAAACAAAAAAAAAATACTGGATTAGATACAGGTGTTAATAATTCGCATGTAAAATAAACCTAAGATAAAAAAAAATTCTCGTCCACTAATATTGTTGATTCTAGAGAACTTCTAAATCAACATGTCGTAAATATGGATGTTTTTTCTAAAAGGAAAACAAAAAGAACGAGACATTGAAAAAAAGTTTTTTTCTAAATAAATAATTAATTACTCGAAGATTTCGTTCAATTCGATCGATTTCAGCACCAACTCTATCAACAATATTTTCTCCATGCTTAAGAAGAAATGTTTCAGCCAATTCGATTGTATCAATTTTTCTCATTTCCTATTAAGATAAAACAATAAGTTATTTGCTCTATTTATTCATTCGTTGTTTTGTTGCTAACGTCAAGTATAACTTGAATGTCATTTTTTTCCAAATATGAACGAGCTATTTCTCGTCCATCAATATCAACTTCAGCTTTAAACATGACCGATTGTGAACCCATGTCGGTTGCTTTGATATCATATAAAGCACGAACCATCCGATCATTTTCTAAATCGCTATTGATTGCTTCAATTTGATTCGGATGGATCGATCTTTTAAAAATTTAAAACAATAATAATAATACAACAAGAATTCATTCTTGAATTTTATCTACCGGCCAACAAGTGCAGCCGTATTCGAATAAATAATAAACGAAGCAACACCACCTAAAATACCGCCAATAACCAACGAGCCAATAGCATCGGGAATAGGTGACTGAAGATAAACTGAAAGACTCATCGCTGAACCAGCAACACATACGCCCAGAACTGCTGCTAGATCTTCAAGTAAAACGACGTTTACATTTGGCTTATAACCTTGACCGACTATCATAAACAAAATAGTTAATCAATAGATTTTTTAAAATATATTATTTAATTATATACCATATTCCCAAAATCGCATTCCACTCTCTTTTGCTGACGCTCGAATTTCATTGACGGCCATATAGAGAGTTGCTTTAAATAAAATAAAATAATATTAAATGTAAACAAAATTAAACAAACTAACCTCCTTCAGAGATCAATGAGCCGCCCAATAAAGCTAAACCCTTTAAAAAATAAATCGAACATCAATCATATCTAGATGAGAGACGTTCATCATTGAATTTATTTACCCAATAAACTGATTCCATTTCTTGAGGATGTAATAAAACTAGAACTCCATGATACCAAGCTAAACCAGTACCAAAACAAAATATGCCAACACCACTGATAAGTGATGAAATATAAGTCATATTGGAATAACCATAACTAAATATTAGATTTTATTCATTCGAGATTATTTGCCATTGAAATCTAAATTACGGATGTTCAGGATTTGGTTTTTTGATTGATTGCCATAAACCAAAGGTAAGAATGAGTTGATTGCATGTATCAGCAACAGAATGAACGGCTTCGGAAAATAAAGATGCAGAACCCGTGAATAACCAACCAATCGTTTTGACTACAGCATTTGTTGCATTACTAAATTTTTCAAAGAGAGAAAACAAAACGATTGCGATCTCTTCTGTTTATAGTTTCGAAAATCTTACACGAGAACTGCGACAACAACCACTTTTCCACCGCTTGTTGTAAGAATTGTATTTTTAACCTAATAGAAATGAGTAATTTACTAAAATTAATTTTATTTCTTGAAAAATCAATCAGCATACTGTTTTTTGATCATCAAAAAAAGCATTTTCTAACATCAATAAACGCTTCTGATATTCTTTTAGTGATTTCTTTAAACTAAAAATAGCTAGAAAGCAACAACATTCATTGAAAAATAATACAAAAAACAAATACTTACGTTCATATTCTATCTGTCGTGCTTTGGCTCGTTTTACTTTTTCTTTATTCAACATTTCTGGACTACCCCATACTTCATAGGCTCTTGAATAGTAAAAAAATACAAATCTACTGATTTTTTGTTTTGCTTGAATCTTACCGTTTTTCAACATCACCTCGGCGATAGACAGTTAACATGGAAGCATTTTCACTAACCTCTGAATAAGGAGAACGTGTTCTATATTGTTTAAGTGTTTCCAAATCACTAAATTATATACGTACACGTATATTCAAGAAAATCAAATTCCAAATCTTACGCTGGTTTTAATAAATATTCATGCATAGCTCGTATAGCTGTAATGAAATTATTTTCTGTATAACTTGCAGTATAATCAGTTGCTTTCATTTTTCGATTTCGAACTAATATGAACCAATTTTATGATTAATATTCTAATTTGAAAATCTTACCTTTCAACAAGGTTGGAACAGGTACTTTAATCGGAGCAATTTTATCGGCTATGTTCGATGGACCATCACTGTTAGGCGTTGAAGTACCATTCGATTGTTTTCGTATAGATAATCCATGACTTGTTCGTTGTCGTAATAGATCATATGCATCGAATTTTAGTGGACTATGCAATCAATCGAGAAACTCAACTGCTTATATTTGATATCTTGCAAACTTACATTGAAGAACTAGTACGAAGGATATTACGTTGCACAGCATAGGTGACTATGGCATAAGTACGTTTTGAATAGATGATTTTTGATAGTTGATGAGCTACAGAGAAACATTAGAATAAATAATCTTTTCTGCCCTATGAAAAACTACTGATAATAACTTCTTTTTGTTTCCGGGGAATGCTACCGTAGGAAACGTTTTTCAGTGCAACCCTTGGAGAGACGATTAAAATGTGAAACATATCGAATTACTATTGTTTATCATCGGAAAATCGTTTTGTAAATGTTTTTTTTGATCTATTTCTTGTATTCTTCGAAAAATCTACTACAAGTCACAGCCCATATGATCAGTCATCATAAGAATATCTATACCATAAATAGTATTGAATCTAATATGTGCAACTTTTAAATTGTTTCAATATCGCATTTAAACTAAACTGTTGTTTTACTCTCATTCTTATGCGTATTTTCATTTCGTAACAGCTCTGAATTCTACAGTCATCAGTTAAAGAGATATCTTTCAAAATTAAATATAAAGCTGATGTTAAAATCTTCTTACTGGTTCTTAATGTTGGTCTTATGCCATATTCCAATAGATTTTGAATGAACATATTCTTTTAGTCCTTCTCTACATATTCATTAATAGTCCAAATAGATTATCTTCAATACGACCATCTGAAAATAAAAACAAGAAAAAGATTTTTTTCAACCATTTTAGTTAATTGTTTAGCTCTATCATAAATGAAATGTAAAGAATCTAATTATCAAATATCTTCTTTAGTGTTAATCAGCTGATTTTTAGACTATAAACTGCCAGAAAAAAAAACACAAGCAAAATATCACTCATTATTTATGAAACTGTTTATCAAAACGTTATACGATTGATCTGCTCTCGGATAATTTGTCCATAATCTAAAACAAAAATAGAATTATAATATATATCAAATATAAAGTATAAATATTAACTTGTCGAAGACCAGGTAGCAATAATATTGAGCCTATGATTGGAAGACGTCGAAGAAAATTAATAACAACCGGTATAAAACCTCTGTAAGAAAACGAATTTCTCTTAAATCATCAACAGAAAAAAGGAAGCGAACCCGAACAAAAGAAAAAATCCATAGAATTCAATAATCATGCCGATCAATGGCCAACCGAATAGAACAAGCAGAAATCCACCAAAGAAAAAGGCTGTAGCTTTGGCTTTATAACTTTGAAAGAAAAAACGAACTGTTCGTTCAAGACCAATAATCATAGAAAGACCACAGAGGAATAAAATCTAAATAAGCACACTGAATTAATATGCGAGAACAAAAGCAGGGAACAAATCAAATATATACATTTCCAACGACAAGTAAACCTTTATCGAATAAAAATATCATGCCAAGAAAAATAAAACCAACTCCGAATATGGTCAGGCCAAGGCCAATTTCTTAAAACAATAATAATACATTGTTTCTACTAATAGAAAAAAACTATGGAATTATTTATTTACTCTGTAGATTTGACAATTGTATGGGCATTTCGGTCTTTCTAATAAATATTAATTTAATTGATTGTTTGCGAATAATTAATAAAGATAAATTATCTTATCGAACATGAACATTATAGAAGTAGAAATAACATTGAGATGGAATTATTCAAAAACAACTGTGACACGACACATGGATGAGTGAATATGAAACAAAAATTCAGCTGTAATTATGACTGGCATATTTTTCGACTCACTATTCCATAGTTTATTAGTAAATATAACTGCATAGGGATTGCAATCGATAGATGGCATTTGTAGACATTATCAATTGCAGTACGGACACTTATATTTTTACGTACGTATTTGGAGAAACTTTCATTCCGCTGACGTCTTAGTAATTCATGTATTCGATGGAAATAAGAAGATAATGTTCAGATACAATGTTTACTAAGCATTTCAATGCCTATGCTCGATCTTTATTGGATGCAAAATTCTCACTTAATAAAATCATATGATATTGTGTGTGGTAGACGTTGGAAACACAAGAAAAAAATACATATGAGCAGTAACATTCATTGACTAAGCAACAGAAAATAGACCGTAAAGCTTTCAATATATGTTATGCGACCTAGATGTCAAGGTCATACACGTGCAACTTGAAAAAGTTAAATATTCAGTGTTAGGTATCTTGAAAATTTATCTAAAAATCAAATTTCCTATACGAGAAAATTCCACAGATTTTACTATCGTTGTTCTGGAATCTGTTTTTGGTTTGAATGCCATTCTATGACAATCCTATAATAGAAAACACCGGAATTCTATTGGAATTTATTGAACAGTAAAAAGATTCATCGAAGCATTAAAAAAATGTGGTAAAATGTATGCTAATTTCTAATGCGTATCTTTATTCATGTTGTCAAGTGTTTATTGCAGTTATGCTTAAGTCGAATGAGATAGAAAAAGTCTCATTTTTCAAGACCTTAGAAGGTTGCAGTATAAAACCTTTTCTTCAAACTTTGATTATTTACCTGTAATAGTTTATTGTATTTCTTTCACAGGATATTGCACTTTTGTTACGACACAGGCTTGCTTTCACTCATCAGCTAGTCTACTTTAATATAAGAACTGTTATTAACGGAACAGGACGTTAGCTTCCTATTATACAATAATGACTCGATTATAGATTTATATGAAGTTATGCTTCGTGTTCCACGTTGTTTTCACTTCAAAAAGCTAATTCTCATTAATTCTACAAGATGACGTCTACCGGTGGAAAATACAACGCATAGATCTCTTCAAATAAGGACTGATTGAATAGAACAGGTAGGCAACACTTACGCACGTATCAAATTGAGAATGACCAAACACTCTTCACTTAAATATGCGAGTGCCCATGCCATTACTTTTCTTGTAAGATAAAGTTTACATGCCATCAATGTTGTTATTACTAAGAGACGTTTTTGCCAAAATAATTTCAATTAAATTTGAAAAATACTTTGTTAAATTTTCATATTTGCTAAATAAGTGAAATACATCAATGACGACACCAGTCATTAATAAATTGGATCAAATTGAATCAGCAATCAAACAAAATTATATTCCAATCGTATACGGAATCGGCCTAATTAGTAATACATTAAATATAATACTATTTTGCCGGCGTAAACTTCGTTATAATTGTTGTTCACGATATTTTATATGTTTATCGACATGCCAAATATTATTACTTAATTTTAATTGTCTCCGCCAAATAATAACTTATTGGTTAAATTACAATGGATTTTCGACAGTAACCTCTCTATGTAAGATCTATGCTTATTTTAATACTCTTTCACTTGCTCTTGTACGACATTTTATTTGCTTAATATCTGTTGATCGTTGGTTGGTTTCATCGACAAATGCTCGATTTCGACGTATAAGTTCACTAAAGAATGTTCGTTGGATTATAAGCTGTTCATTTCTTTTTTGGATCATATTTTCTATTCATGCACCTATTGGTTTCATGCCGATTTCTAGCGGATGCAGCCCAATACATCGTACTGGATACGCTATGTTTTTAACTATTTATAGTATAATGACATCGGCAGCACCACTTTTTATTGCTATTATTTTCGGTATATTAACATTAACTAACATACGAGAAAGTTTAAGACAAGTCAATCCAATAAACCATCGAAGAAATATATTTTTCGTTATCAGTTCTACACAACCAAGACGAAATCGGTCAGTACACAAAAAGCGATTAGATATGGCTTTTGCTCGTTTAGCTGTGTTTCAGATTATTCCCTATACTTTATTCAATTTGATTTCATCAATCAGTATAATCATGATTTATTTAAATTCTCTTGCAAGTGAAAATGATATACAAAAAACTGCCATAGTAATATTCATTTATCACTTAGGCATTTATATTCTATGTTCATATGTATCAGTATGTATAAATAGGAACTAAAATTACAAGTCATTAAATTTTTCTTTATTAGATTTCATTTATCTTTTATGCATTGGCTTCACATATTTTTCGTAAAGAATTTATGCTCGTTTGTCAACGATTATGTTCCATTATAGAAAATAATATATTATGTCGTTAATTACACAATGTATCCTCCCCCCCCTTA